TCAGCCCAAAGTAGAATCTGCCACATCCCTGGCCTCTTGTTTCATCAGCGGCCTAAGAATAGCATTTTCTCTCTATTACCTCATCTCCTCTGCCTCTTTTCTATTTACTGATACAGAACCATCAGCCAGCTACCTTCCTCCCTGTGTCCTGAGAAAGGACTAGGGTGAAGGTCTTTCCTTGGAGCAATACATTCTGGGTGAGTGGCTGGGAAGCCACCTGCGCTGCTGCCACTTTGCCAACAACGCCCATCATCCTTGGCCATGCTTACTCAGGCTGAAGGATGCTGAAATTCATCAATGTCTGGAGGACCAAAGGTTCCCCACACCTGGGCTAGGAATGTATATGATCAGGTTATATCAGTACCTGAACTGCACTAGTCTTAATAAAAAGTATTGAGAGAGATTGTGTTGTTAATAAACTATCTTCTAGGGGGATTAGACCAACATGTGGAAAGCAAACTTATGTATGGCAAAGAGGACATAATGAAGAACTTCAGGTATTGGAAAGATAAATGGGTAAGTAAGGTTTTAAGTTCTCATATGTATTTCATAGGCAGATAGCTTATCCTTGCTTTGCCACTTCTCCAAGGAAAACCTGCAATTTAGTGCTGAATCAGAGTGGATGGCAGTCAGATTTTCCATTAATTGCCATTTGTTGCCAAAGAGGTTTTCCAGGGAAAAGCAGCAAAGGCAAAACAGATCAGACCGGTGCCTAGAAAGCATGGGACCAGCAGAAGTGTGGGCAACCCCAGGGTCTATCCATCTTAACTATGCTGTATGCTTATTTAAATTCACAACCTCATCTCAGATATTCTATGCAAGCATGCATGCGCTAGGAGCACAAAAGTTCCTTGTGGAGTACCAGTTCCAACTAAAAATCTTCCTGTCACCTCATCACCCTTGGTGGGACTTCCTTGCCCTTCTCCAAGGCCTGGGTACATAGGATTCAACAGCAGATGTCAAATGTGTAGGGTGTAAGGGTTTTGAACATGTTCAAGATCTAGTTCAGAAAGTAATCCAACCAGAGATTTCTCAGTAAATTTAGCCATTGTGGAATAAGAAGAGATCCTCTTGTAAATCAGAAACTGGTTCAAGTAACAGGAAGCAGAGAGTAGGCATAATTGGACAGTTCTTCCAATGGAGTGATGTAGAAAGCAGAATCCTCTAAGGACTTGTGTTGGGACCTGTTTTTTAACTTGTTCATAAATGGTCTAGAGCAATGTTCCCCAAACCTGGGTCTCCAGTTCCCCAAGAATGAGACCTGGAGGTATTAGCTCAATAAGAGTTTGAACCAGCGTGCAGCAGCTGTGAAAAAGGCAAATTCCATGCTAGGGAGCATTAGAAAAGAAAATGAAACTGCCCACATCATAATGCCAATGTATCAATCGATGGTGCAACTGCATTTGGAATAATGTGTACAGTTGTGGTTGCCTCACGTCAGAAAGGATATTGTAGAGTTGGAAGAGCTTCAGAAAAGGAGGAACTGAAATGATCAAGGAAAGTGGAGTGACTAAAGGTTGCAGGATGGGGTGGTGGTGTTTAGAGAAAAGGCAAATAAGAGGTGACATGATAAAGATGTATAAAAAAAAGTTTCTTCTCTCATAACACTAGAACTTCATTGGCCTCAATTAAGCTGAATGTTTAAAGATTCAGGATAGAGCAAAGAAAGGTTTTCTTCATTCAGCATAAACTATCGAATTCTCTCCCATAAGAGGCAGTGATATCTACCAACCTCAGTAGATTTAAGAGAGGATCCATACAATTTCATGGATAAGGCCACCAGTGTCTACTAATCCTGATGTACATGTTCTACCTCCACAGTTTGAGGTTATGGTTCTGAATACCATCTGCTGGAAATGGCAGGAGGGGATAATGCTATTCCACCGAAATCCTGCTTGTGTGCTTTCCATAGGCATCTGATTGGCTGTTGTGAGAGCAGGCCCAATCCAGCAGGCTCTTCTTATTTTCACACACACTGCATTTACTGGAGCAAGGCCATGCATTTCAACCACAGCTTTTATACCTAATCCCATTGAAACTAGTGCTCTTAAGCATAGTTGGCACTGGACTTTGCAAGAGAACTAGAATTTTATATATGAAATTCTGACTGTTACAATTATAGGTACAGCTGTCCAATAGGCTTCGTCCAACAGTGCAGCCAATACAGCCAGTGGCTTGTGGCCAATTACAGTCTACAACTGGTGCTGTAGAAGATACCCTACCTTTGGAAGAGGGGAAGAGCAATCTACTTTTGGAACCGAGGAGCACCCAATTTTTGGAAGGGGGGAAGAGCAATCTACTTTTGGAACCGAAGAGCAACCTACTTTTGAAAGGGAAGAGCAACCAAATTTTGAAAGGGAAGAGCGGCCTACTTTTGGAAGGGAAGAGCAACCAACTTTTGAAAGGGAAGAGCAGCCTACTTCAAAAGCATCTCAAGTGAAAAATAAAAATGAGCATGCAGTACAAAGTTCAGCTGTGTTTGGTTTTATTAATTCTAATTAAAAATGGAAACTCTGGGTCCCCCTCCCAATAAATCAATGTTGAAACAGTCAGTTTGGTAACCAAAGTTCAAGCAAACTTGCTCGTTTTTTGTATGAACGTGAGCATGTGGCAAAGCAACAATTCAGTAAAAACTGTGAATCAAAATTAGTCTCACACTCTTAACCACCATGTTTCCCATGTAGTGTCTTGTTTGGCCCTGACAAGTAGCAGTTGGACCCCTGCCCCTAAAAAAGCACGATTTGAACTGGTTGCAAAAATCACACTTAGGCTCCATGAAACCTCTAAGGAAAAAGAAAGATCAGGAAGGAAGGGCTTCATATCTTATTTTTACTATATAATGCTTGGACACATGACTGCAAAACTAAACACACTTGCTTATTAGGAAGCCCCACTGAACCTAATGGAACGTATTCCTAGGTAAACAAGCTTAAAGGTAAAGGTAAAGGTACCCCTGCCCGTACGGGCCAGTCTTGCCAGACTCTAGGGTTGTGCGCCCATCTCACTCAAGAGGCCGGGGGCCAGCGCTGTCCGGAGACACTTCCCGGGTCACGTGGCCAGCGTGACATCGCTGCTCTGGCAAGCCAGAGCCGCACACGGAAACGCCGTTTACCTTCCCGCTTGTAAGCGGTCCCTATTTATCTACTTGCACCTGAAGGTGCTTTCGAACTGCTAGGTTGGCAGGCGCTGGGACCGAACAACGGGAGCGCACCCCGCCGCAGGGATTCGAACCACCGACCTTTCGATCGGCAAGCCCTAGGCGCTGAGGCTTTTACCCACAGCACCACCTGCGTCCCGTAAACAAGCTTAGGAGTGCACTAATACTATTAAGAAGGTACTTATCTCAGGGAACTAAGATAGGAAATAGAGAGCTAGGGATGTAGTTCACTGTTTTATATTTGTCTATTGATTGCTGCTGGGCAGGGTCATTAGCATACAGAGGGCATTGTGCGCCGGTCCCTGCCATCTGACGTCCAGCTTCATTTCTCTGTTTTACTGGAATTGGCAGAGGCAATGGACGAACAAAATCGATATTGATAACATTGATACCTTGCAGTTGAGCAGTTTCCAGGACTGGGAACCAGGGAGTGTACCAATTTTGGAGACAATCACAGACTCTTTAAAGAAACAGGTACATAGCTTGGGGTGCTCCTAAAGCCATCTCTGTGACTGGAGGCTCGGGTAACCTCTGTGTTGAATATCGGCAAGAATGATTTCAGTAGGAAGTGGAACCGAGCACTGTAATAGGAGGAAACGAAACAAACTAGTGGACTCGAAGCCCAGTTTCTGTACCTTTCTGGATCAGCTTCAAAGCAAATTCCAGAATGGATTGTATCAAGGAAGGTATCCTTCCTTCGCAGCCTTGCTTTTTCTTACAGCCTAGTATAGCCCTGCCAATACTCCCAAACATGCAACACGTAAATTTATGAGACCAGTTGACATTATGCAACTATTTTGACTGCTTTAATCAAATTAAAACTTGATTAGTGGATTCATCTCCAGAGGGGCATCCAATTATAATCTGGATGGATTGCATTGCCTAAGCTATGCATTGTACACATGACTTTCAACATCACCTTTGTTGGCGTAATCTATTTTGACATCTTTTCTGATGCTTCTAGGCTCCCTGCTTTGCTTTCAAAGCTGAAGCAATTCAGGCAGTACCAGAGCAGAGTGTCTCCCAGGCCTTTGTAGCTAGCAGAAGTCAGCCACTCCATCTCCACAGCTCTCCCTCACTACTCAGGACAGCTGTTGAACAATCCTGACAGTCTGGGCAGCAGTGGGTTCTTAGGAGCAGAGGCCAAGTATTGCTCAATGATGACTACACTGTTACTAACAAGCCTCCCACTCCTCCACTTCAGGGTTTCCACAGCTTGTTTCCTTGAAATATAGTCCCCCATATAAATGACTGTTGGAACCACTAAGATCAGGCACAGGCAAACTCGGCCCTCCAGATGTTTTGGCACTACAACTCCCATCATCCCTGACCACAGGTCCTGTTAGCTAGGGATGATGGGAGTTTTAGTCCCAAAACATCTGGAGGGCCGGTTTGCCTATGCCTGACTTAGATCCTCAGAGGAAACCCTATTGGTGGCACTGTATCTTACAGATTGCTATAGGGTCATGTGACCTGCAAGGTTGCATTTTACATGGTTGCCCCTGTACACTTCCCTCTGTGATTTTCTCTGCAAGAGAAAACCAGGAAGATTTTGACTGGGAGAGTATTCCAGAACCATGGCAGCACTGCAAGGCTCCTGTAACTTGCGCTCACTCACCAAATTTCTTGAAATTGCACCAAGAGGAAGGTCTTCGACGATCTTAATTCTCAAGCAGGCCTATATGGGAGCAAATAGTCTCAAAGGTGACCTGATCCATCACATGATCAAATTTAAAAAGACATATGTCATATTGAATATCCAATAACTTAGATTTTTAAAATAATTTTTGAAGACACAAAAAGCAAGAATTTTATCCATAATTTATTTTTAAAGCTTATCACATTATTGAAGCATTAAACATGGCTTTATGTTGATGGTATATTTTAAGTGTGAAAATTTGACATTCTTAACCATAGGGCTTTTTTTTGTTTTGCTATTTACAATAAACAATCTCTATATACTTTATATATATTATACATATGTAAGATATATCTTACCTCAAAAAAAATGAAAACAAAGAGCTACCAGATATGTAATCAGTGTGTCTGATATACATGGTACTTTAATAGGAGATGTTATAATAGCCATTGCTAAAGTACCCAGATTTTTTTATGTCTATTTACTATTGGAAGTGTTGAAAAAGTGACAAGGAACATAATGCAAAAGAGTAGCAAACAGGCTGAAAAATAGTCCACGGTATATAAGTTTCTTGATTTTAAAAACTGAAGTTGCATGCTTGTTTAGAATGGCATATGAATAGCAATCATATGCAGACTGCAAGGTGATTTCACAGTAAAACTCCTTGACATGTTCTGTCCTGTTTGCTATGTCAGATTGTGGCATGCATTGAGGTTGCATCTTTTGTTCATTCTCTTGAAGGTAGTGTTCTCATGGAACTGTAGTAAGCAAATGGAATATAGGTATCCTACCTGCAAATGTAAGCAGCAGCAGCAGTGACAACAAAAAAAAGTATCCGGTCAGGAAAAGAGGAGACACAATTCATGTATTCAACCAGATAGCAAGGATATTGCATTATGTACACACAAGTTGTGAGATTAAGCAAATGTGAATCTCTAACTGGATTCAAGGCCACAATTTTTGTCTTTGGGGGACTGTAATTGGATTGCGTGTATTTTAATCTGATGAAGGACAAAAGGGGAAACTTGTTGCTTAGAAAGAGGACTCGTTATCAAACAATATGTCTCACTGTGAACAGTGGCAGCAACACATTATGCTGATCCTTCAGACTGAGATTTGTGTAAGCTCCAAAACACACAATAATACAGTAAAAGGTAATTTTTGTTGGGCCAATAGAACAAATTATTTTATTTCTTCAATTTATATACCACCCTTCTTCATCCCTAGGTCGCAGGGTGGTTCAGAACACAAAAGTACATCATAATAAAAAGAACAAACAAAAATAAATTGCATTTTATTAAGCCAATGCAAAGATGTTTTCAGAAAACTTACCTTACAATCTATTCCTGTGTTTTATTGAACAAAACCTACATACCACTCTGAGAGTTTTTAATCACCAGGAAACCATACAAAAGGAGTAAACTGATGCTAGAAGTACCACAGGACGGACCTTGCATAACATAATGCAACACGATTTGTATTGTTGGTTACCTGAGCTATAATGGTAGGCTTTAACTCTCTTATTTCTCACCTTGCCTCCTATAGTTAAACCATTAGGCTTGGTGTGGTTATGTTGAGCATTGTTACTAGAATGGTAAAAAATATGCAACACATTTTTTAAACCCAGTGGCTGACTGGTAACACACTGCGAGCCAGAGGTTATCCACCCCAAGTAATAGGATAGGCTAGCTATATTTTCAGACTTGTTATGTTCAAGCCCCTTTGCCCACAAAACAGTTACCTAAACTCTTGATTGTATTAGAGAGTTTCTCAAATTATCTGGGCAATTTGTTTCACACTGTTGAACTGACGTATCATTTAGAAATGCTCACCCAGCTTAGTTATGGCCACTCGTTGTGGTAAGATTTCCCATTTTTCTTCCTTTCCTTCCGTTCCTTCTGTAGACGCTCCAGTTCTGCTTCATACATCATTTCCTGGATCAGATACTTTTCCCTTCTCATACGATCCCTCAGATCTTTAGGAAGATCTGGGATTAAATAGGAAATCAAGTGTTTTATACAAAACACCAGGTGCTGTAGAAAACAAACGTGTAAATTAAGCATAAAAGTTCAACAAGATGTGGAATACTTTTAAATAAATACACCTAGCTAAGAAAAATCTGTACAAATGCAGTCTTTGCAATTGCACCTCTATTTATGCATTCTCGTTTTGGTCCATCTCTAAGGAACACAGGAAACTGCCAAGTCTGACCACCAGTCCATCTGAGCTCAGTACCGTCAACATTACCTGGAAACAATTGGGACTGGCCCGTTTGCTAGGAAAGCATAGGCTTTTTTGCTGAGCTGTAACACATCCCCATACTCCCCCCCCCCATATTTCCATTTTCACTTCCAACAATGCTGTTGAGCATAAGAATGATTAATACCGATAAAAAACACAACCCGTACTGTTTCTCTTTCATACAGTACTGTAAGCCTGCAACTTGTGATCGCAACCTTACATGGGCTGGGGGAGTTAAATGAAGGGGAGCCACAGTTCTTTGCTCTCAGTTTATTTATATTTTTCCCCACCAGTGCACCCAGCAAGTATTCCTCACTTACTAGGCTTTGGTAAGGGAGTGGGAGGGCTCTGACAATGTCCCACAGCCCTCGTGCCACCTTCCCAAAGCAGGGTAAGGTAAAGTGAACTGCTGGGCTTTGGTAAGGAGGCATGAGGGATCTGGGAAGCTGCCAGAGCCCTCTCACTGCCTTCCCAAAGCTGAGTAATGGAGGCAGCTGACTTTGGGAAGCAGGTGGAAGAGCTCTGGGACACTGCTGAAGGAATTATTGGCTCCCAAACTGGGGGCTCTTCATTGGGACCACTCTGCGAGGAGTGAGCAGAAAGTTTAACCGTGAGCTCAGGTTCAGATGTCATGGTAAGCCAAACCTTTGGCAACGGAGGAAAAACAAGATGGGGGATGAGCAAACAGGCTGTAAGGACCCTGGTTGCCTCTTGGGCCACAGTGGCAGAGCTGCTGACCCTATTCAAATCCAGGGCTACACAGTGGTGACCAACCAGGGCTTTTTTCAGTAAGAACTCAGTTCCGGCACCTCTCAGGTGGGCACCATTGCCATTATAAGAGAACAAGGGAGGTGTTCATGGTGAGTTCCAGCACCTTTTTTTCTAGAAAAATTAACCTGGTGACCACTGTGCCTGAGGCATAGCAGAACTGCCTCTTAATGGAGGCAAGCTGGAAGATTTCAGTAAACTGCCTAAATAATTTAATAAGAAAAACTCTGGGGCTAATGGTGTCTCATGTCCACTTTGAGGGGGTTTTCCTACAATCAAGCAGTATAATTTTATATAATAAGTAAAATAAATAAAAATATCCCACAATTTTTACTATTTACGGTTGTTTTTATAGTATCTCTTCAAAAAGACATTCTCACCAAATGCAACCGTAATTCCCAATTCCCCTCCCACCACCAGCATTTCAAGCATCTACAGTGGTACCTCAGGTTACATACGCTTCAGGTTACAGACTCTGCTAACCCAGAAATTGTGCTTCAGGTTAAGCACTTTGCTTCAGGATGAGAACAGAAATTGTGCTCTGGCGGTGCAGCAGCAGCAGGAGGCCCCATTAGCTAAAGTGGTGCTTCAGGTTAAGAACAGTTTCAGGTTAAGAACGGACCTCCAGAATGAATTAAGTACTTAACCCGAGGTACCACTGTATTTGGATAATCTTTGCTATTACATACCGTCTGTTCCATATCAGTTTTCTCTTATATTTATGTTCAAAGCAAACTTGCATGTCTTCCCACAGATAGTCTTATGTCTCACCCCCACTTTATCATGAATTCTTTTACTTGTTCTGATTAAGTATTGTATTTAAGAAGCAATTTCCAAATCTTTGACAGTTAATGATCCTTATGATTTATCAGTAGTTTTTCAAATTATGTTAATTCTCTTTAAGCTAGGATTGCCTCTTAATATTTATTTATAACTGAATTTATCTGAAAATATACACAGCACGGTGGACTTTGCTGGTTTAAATAGTCTTTAATTTTTAATTGTTCAGTCATGCTCCCACATTTTGGATTGCTGGAGTTTTCATTTCATTCACAATAAAAATAATTATGTTGCAACAGCTTATTTGACAAAACTAGTCATAAACAGCATACTAATAATATGGGGAAATGGAAGTACAATATTTGATTAAATGCAAAATGACAGTAATTACTAATTATTCTTTTACCAAAAATTATACAATACACTGACTACAAACATTTTTTTTTTAATAAATTTTTTATTGCGTTCCTTTCCATAACTTCAAACAATCCAAACACCACAAAAACATTAAATGCAAGAAACAATTTTTCTTTTCTTTTACATTCAAAAACAAATTAAAGATCAAACCAAAAAAGGTATATAAACCATTCCATATTTGGACTTCCCCACACCCTCCGGAACTGCATTCTTTATAGTTTAATAATGTCAGCAATTTGTTACCTTGTTTCCTACCTTATTGTAACTTTCAGTTTGTTATGCATCCAAATTCAATATATTGTATCTTAATTTCAATGCTTTTAAAATAAACATAACATGTTCAATTTAAATTGTCTCCTTTTCTTTTTTATCACTTATTTTAACATTTACTTAATCCTGTTTGCCAAAGCATAGTATTTCTAAATCATGCACTGACTTAAGATTCATACAGCTTATGATGTTTTTGCAAATAGTCTTTAAATTTTCTCCAGTCTCCCTCGATTATTTCTTCATCCAAATCTCGGATTCTGCCAGTCAGCTCAGCTAATTCCATGTAGTCCATCAACTGCGTCTGCCAATCCTCCAGCGTGGGTAAATCTTGTGTCTTCCAGTTCTTTGCGATGAGTATTCTTGCTGCTGTAGTTGCATACATAAACAAAGTTCTATCCTTCTTTAACATTTTCTGGTCCACCATACCCAGCAGGAAGGCCTCAGGTTTCTTAGAAAAGGTATACCTAAATACCTTTTTTAATTCATTATGTATCATTTCCCAAAAGGCCTTCACTTTTGGGCAGGTCCACCAGAGGTGGAAAAATGTCCCTTCTGCCTCTTTACATTTCCAACATTTGTTGTCAGACAGGTGATATATTTTAGCTAGCTTGACTGGGGTCATGTACCACCGGTATACCATTTTCATAATGTTTTCCTTCAAGGCAGTACATGCCGTGAACTTCATTCCGGTGTTCCATAACCTTTCCCAGTCTTCAAACATTATGTTGTGTCCAACATCCTGTGCCCATTTTATCATGGCAGATTTAACTACCTCATCCTGTGTATTCCATTTAAGCAGCAAGTTATACATTCTCGATAAAGTCTTAGTCTTTGGTTCTAACAATTCTGTCTCTAGTTTCGATTTTTCCACCTGGAAACCCACCTTTTTATCCATTTTAAAAACCTCTTGAATTTGAGCATAATGTAACCAGTCTCGCACCTTATTTTTTAATTTGTCCTGGCTCTGCAGCTTCCAATTGTCTCCAATATTTTCTATTAATTCCCAATATTTCGGCCAGTAGGCCTCCATATTGAGTCTTTTTCGGGCCTTGGCCTCCACCGGTGATAGCCACCTCGGAGTTTTGCACTCTAATAAGTCTTTATACTTCATCCAGACTGCAAAAATTGCCTTTCTGACAATGTGGTTTTTGAACAATTTATGAGCCTTAGCCTTGTCATACCATAGATATGCATGCCAACCAAAAGCATTATCAAAACCCTCCAGATCTAGGACATCAGTATTTTCCAGCAAAAACCAATCTTTCAACCAGCAGAAGGCTGCAGCTTCATAGTACAGCCTTAAGTCCGGCAGGGCAAACCCCCCTCTTTCTTTTGAGTCAGTTAGTATTTTGAACTTTATTCGGGGCTTTTTGCCCTGCCAGACAAACCTAGATATGTCCTTCTGCCACTTTCCAAAGCATTCCACTCTGTCCACGATCTGCAGGGTTTGAAACAAAAACAACATTTTCGGCAATACATTCATTTTTATAGCCGCAATTCTTCCCAACAAGGACAGTTTCAATCTTGACCAAATTTCTAAATCTTTTTTAACTTCCAGCCAACATTTCTCATAGTTATCTTTAAATAAACTCAAGTTTTTGGAAGACAAATTAATCCCTAGATATTTCACTTTTTTGACCACATTTAATTCTGTTTCTCTCTGAAATCCCTCTGTTTCTGTAGGTGTCAAATTCTTAGTCAGAACCTTAGTTTTTTGTTTATTCAGTTTAAACCCCGCCACTCGACCAAACTCAGATATAAGTTCAAGAACTCTTTTTGTACTGGGTTCTGGCTCCTGCAGTGTCAAAACTAAGTCATCTGCAAAAGCTTTCAGTTTGTATTGTTTCACTCCGACCTCTATCCCTTGTACCCTCCGGTCCTCCCTTATCATGTTCAATAGTACCTCCAGGACTGAAATGAACAAAAGTGGGGATAGAGGGCACCCCTGTCGTGTCCCTTTTTCAATTTTGAATTCCTCCGACACCACATTATTCACTATTAGTTTAGCTTTCTGCTCAGAATAAATTGCTTGTATTCCATTTTCAAACCCCCGTCCCACTCCCATCCCTTCCAAATTTTTCTTCATAAACAACCAAGATATGTTATCAAATGCTTTCTCCGCATCAATAAAAATTAACACCGCCCTTGTGTTCCTGTTGGTTTGCAAGAGCTCCAAAATATCAATGATGTTCCTGGTATTCTCATATAAATGTCTACCAGGGAGAAAGCCAGCTTGATCTTTATGAATTACTTCATTTAAAACCTTTTTAAGTCTGCTTGCCAGAATATCAGCAAATATTTTGTAATCCACATTTAAGAGTGAGATGGGACGGTAGTTCTTAAGTTGGTTCTTTCCCGTTTCCACTTTCGGAATCAATGTGATGAAGGCTTCTTTCCACGACTCCGGTGTCTTCTTCCCCTCCATAATCTGGTTGCAAACCTCTAACAGAGGTTGTATCAAATAGTCCTTCAAAGTCTTATAATATTTAGAGGTAAGTCCATCCGGGCCTGGAGATTTACCTAGTTGCATATTCTGAATGGCTCCTTCGATTTCCTGTGGGGTTATTATTGAGTTCAAGATTGATCTTTTATCTTGGGTTATCTTTGGTAGTCCATTTGTCTTTAAAAATTGGTCTATCTCAGGTTCTTTCTGAGGCCCTTGTGCATAGAGTTCTTTAAAGTATCTGTGGAAGCACTTCCTAATTTCTTCTGGTTTCTGCACCATTTTCCCCTCAATCTCTAGATTTGTAACTGTATTTAGCTTCTGTCTTTTCTTCAACTGCCAAGCGAGCAGTTTTCCACACTTATTTGCTGATTCAAATGATCTTTGTTTCATCTGTTTGATTTTCCATTCAATCTCTTGATTTATCAGTTTAGAATATTGTGCTTGATGGAATTTGATTTCTCTCAGCACCTCCTTTGACTTTGGTTTGGTTCTCAGTTTTTTCTCTCCTTGATGTATCTTCTCCAATATTTTATCCTTCTTTCCATTCCAGAGCTTTTTCTTGATTGTGTTTTGTTGAATCAGAAACCCTCTCATAACAGCTTTACTTGCGTCCCAGATCGTTCTTTTTTCTACTGTAGTATTCAAATTTATCTCAAAGTAATCCTTTAACGTTTTTTGGGCCTTTTTCACAATCTCTTGATCTCTTAGTAGGGCGTCATTCATTCTCCATCTGAAGGAACCGGGTTGAGTTAGTCTAAGTTCTACTTTCAAGGCGTTGTGGTCGGAGCATGTTCTTGGGCAGATTTCCACCTTTCTAGTCTTAGGTGCCAGCCCTCTAGACGTCCAAATTTGGTCGATCCGTGTCCAAGACAGGTGGACCTCAGAGAAGAAGGTTCCTTCTTTACCTAGGGGGTTCTTTGTCCTCCATATGTCAATGAAGTCCAGATTCTCAGTCAGTTCAAAAAAAGTTTTGGGCAGTCTGCCATCTGATGTTAAATTTTGACTTTGAGACTTATCCATATGTGTAGACACCATTTTAACAAGTTTCTGCCTTAGCACATAATACTAATTCTAAACTGAATATCCAGAATACTAAGAAAAAGAGGATAATCGCTGTTTGATTTTCCTTCCCTTTTCTGATAGTAAGAAAAGAGTGTTTTTAAAAAATGCAACATTTAGGTTACCTCACAAATTCAAAAATTGGGATTTGATCCTGAAACTGACCAGCATGCTATGTGGAATAAATCCTATGCTGTGCTGAGATCTGTTGCACAGAATCAACTAGGAGATCATTCTTTTTTCCTCATCTATAGGATGATAATTGATTTCAAAACCCAACATAAAGTTTGGAAGTCTGCAAAATTTGTTTTAGTCCTAAAACTTACCTCGAATACAATAATAAAAGCCAACCGTGCAGCTAAGACATGCCAAAACTGTAGCGTATAGCCGTAGGGCACTGGAGCATGAGGGGGGTCACGATAGTCTCTGTACCTACGAACAAAACAAAACAGGAAGTTAGCCTTGCCCATCTCAGTGCAATGAATGCCAGGCCATAAATGCAAGAGCATTCTGCCCTAGGTCTGTTGGCATCGGCATCTGAGCAGGCAACGTGAAAACAAAATGGTGGACTAGCTGGGCCTTTGGCTTCATCCAGCCAGGCTCTTCTTATTTTCTTATATAATAATAATAATAATATAATAATAATTTATTATTTATACCCCGCCCATCTGGCTGGGTTTCTCCAGCCACTCTGGGCGGCTTCCAACTGAATATTAAAAACAGTACAGCATCAAACATTAAAAACTTCCCTAAAGAGGGCTGCCTTCAGATGACTTTTAAAAGTAAAATAGTTGTTTATTGCTTTGACATCTGCTGGGAGGGCGTTCCACAGGGCAGGCGTCACTACCGAGAAGGCCCTCTGCCTAGTTCCCTCTAACCTTACTTATCGCAATGAGGGAACCGCCAGAAGGCCCTCGGCGCTGGATCTCAGTGTCCGGGCTGAATGATGGGGGTGGAGACGCTCCTTCAGGTATACAGGACCGAGGCCGTTTAGGGCTTTAAAGGTCAGCACCAACACTTTGAATTGTGCTCGGAAACGTACTGGGAGCCAATGCAGATCTCTCAGAACCGGTGTTATGTGGTCCCGGCAGCCACTCCCAGTCACCAGTCTAGCTGCCGCATTCTGGATTAATTGCAGTAACTATAAGAAATAAGACTTCAACAGACAGGCAAAGAAGTGCCAACCCTGCAAACCTGAAGGAGTTCAACCTATGTGTGAGGCTCCTCTAGGGCTACAGTTGTCTTTTTCACTCCACTTCTGCCTTCCTGAGCACACAGTGCTCTGGTTCTATACCACCAATTGAGGGAGAGAAAAGAAGCAGATAGACAGTGGGGATCTGGAAGCAGAACTGTTTCTGGACCCAGGATCCTGTTCTGAGTACTGCTGTCTATCACCATAGATTTGTCAAGTTGCAGTGTCTGTTGAAACCATGTCCTCCTCCTACATACCCGAGTAAGGAAACTTAGCAACAGTGCAAAATAAACTATGTTTAATCTACATGAACACAAACAACCCCGTTTTCCAATATCTTTGTCTAGACAACTATTGATGTGCAAAAAATCAGCAACAAATAGCAGTAAGATAAAAAATCTCATAGAATCTTTCAACTTTGCATATAATAACTGAGCAGGATAAATGGCCACTTTCTGCTCTTTCAATTTCTTCCTCCCCCACCACCCAGATTCTGTTTCCTCACCTCCTCCATTGTTTCCTGGGTTTAATGTCGGATGGGACAGTTGCTGTTAGTGCTGTGCTGTATTTTTGCAGGCTGAGAAATTATAGGGGTTACAATTATCTTCCCTGCCTTCAAAATTTAAAGCCAGAAAATGGAGAATACAGTGGTGGGACAGGTCTATAGCCAACTCAGGAATTCATGGAAGAAGAATTTAACTGCAGACTTCCTGATTCATAGCTCAAGCTCCCGGGCAGCTGTGAATGGTGCAGTGGGGTGGTAGCACTTGCCTGACCCCCTGGTCAGTAGGTTCCTGCTGCTTACCTGGAGGGAAAGTGGAGTGGAGGGCGGGAGCTCCTACGATTCACTAGCTATAGGTAAAGGTAAAGGGACCCCTGACCATTAGGTCCAGTCGTGGCCAACTCTGGGGTTGCAGCGCTCATCTCGCTTTATTGGCCGAGGGAGCCGGCGTACAGCTTCCGGGTCATGTGGCCAGCATGACTAAGCCGCTTCTGGCGAACCAGAGCAGCGCACGGAAACGCCGCTTACCTTCCCGCCAGAGCGGTACCTATTTATCTACTTGCACTTTGAGGTGCTTTCATACTGCTAGGTTGGCAGGAGCAGGGACCAAGCAGCAGGAGCTCACCCCGTTGCGGGGATTCGAACTGCCGACCTTCTGATTGGCAAGTCCTAGGCTCTGTGGTTTAACCCACAGCGCCACCCGCATCCCACTAGCTATACTGATACTAATAATACCAACAGAATAGAGATTATTATTCACATGGCAGTAGTTCCGCATATATTTCTTTACCTGCAATATTTTAACGGCGTGCCGGAGAACTCACTTCCATTTGATGATGGTTCTGAACGATGTTCAAAATCGTACACTAGAAAAACTGATAAACTTGCATTAACGTAGCCAACCATACACCTGGGAAACAAGAATTTTTCCATTTAGTACATCCAGTCTTTTAACTTTAGCATGGCATGTTGATGGGGGCGGGGGGCAAGGAACACTTCCATCTGTGAGCCAAACATCTTAGAAACAAGAGTTAATAAAATCAACATTCCAGCCAAGTGTGACTGATGATCGTTATGGATCAGTATTACTAACACTTATAACGGTTTTGCAAGCAAAGCGCAACCACCGACTTTGGGGAATAAAAACTCTACTGAAGTACTGAAATATTTATATTTTATATTTCTTTCAGCAAAAGAATGCCACAGTAAATTATACTTTGTCCTATCTTGGTCCTGAGTCAGCTCCGAGAAGACCTGCATATTCCCACTTTAAAGGCAAGCTGGCATGAACAGAACAGGCTGAAAACCCTTACACAGTACATTTCTAAATTTCTCTCTCTCCATTTTGTTGTGCTGGCAAAAGAAAGGAGACAGGAAAAAGCAAACCTTCGAATGCCCTGCAGCGATACACAACTTTAGGAAGCCAGACAACTCAGAAATCAGACCCAACTCATTATGGAAACAGAGCATTTGTTTCCTCTCCAACATGTACCAAAGTGCCAAATCCTTGACAAGCTAATGAGTTAGTAGCGCCGTCAATCACAAGCTGTAACTTTAACTGTTCATTTTCTGCCACTATGACAAAACTAAAATGACGCCCAAAATATAGCAAAAATATAACACCAACTAATTCATTCCTGTACCCCAAAAAATGAAAAATTAATACATCTGAATGCTTAATGGAAGTTACCCTTTGTGAAACATGGCTTAGCTCACTAGGTTAAGGTGTTAAAGCATCCAGCAGGAACACGGTTCCCAGCACATGAATGCCAATGAAATGAAGGGTAAACTTTTGAAATAGAAAAATAGCAACAGCATCAGTACTATGTCTTTCTGTCTTATTATACACCACACTATAGAAGCTTCAGTCACCTCAGTCTGCATTAAAATTATCATGGTATGGCTAAAAATTGAAGTAGTAGACCCTAAACATAAGTTCTGGAAAAACTACAGGAAATGGCAGGAGACTCTCTTTCCATTCCTCAAAGAGAGCTTCTGGGAGTAATACCTTATTGTTATATTTATTGTTTCCCACAAAATATCAAACAACAAATCCTTTGGTAATTGGCTGATTTTGTCTCCTATTACTCTTTGGCTTCCTTCCGCTATCGTCTTCCAAAATTGATGGATAATTTAGCAGGACCACCAGTTATGTAGAAAATCTGCATTGAGAGCATTACACACTACCAAGATTTTTGTACTTTGCAGAACTTATAATAGCATTGGTACAAAACTTTCTATTGCTGTGGTTTTTCCCTATTTATTGCCATATTAGGCAAAAAGATATTTTTAAAATCTCATTCCTTATGTTCTTTGAAGCCAAACAGGAGTACAAAAGGCTGGATGCACTTTCAAGAGATGCTCGTGGAAGGCGCTAAGTTATGGAGATCTGGGCGCAATCCATACTGAAATCCCTTATGTTTTGAGGCATCGCGGTACTGACATTTTTCACCAATGCAATTGCCACTCAAGAGGCACGCTATATGGAACACACTGCTGAATCTCATTTGCTTATAATGCATTCTGTGCTACATGCCACTGCAAAGGGCAATAAATACGTGGGAGGATCCTTATCACAAAACTCTATGGCAACCATCACTGCAGTTAGTTGTAACTGTGTGGTGCTTGAAAGTTCATTCTTAAAAACAACAACTCAGGTACATGCTTGTGTTAATCCAAGTTAATAGAGAGATCACCCTCTGAATTACTTTGCACAAGGGTGAATAAGAAACTGCAAACACACACCCCTCAGATAAGGATGTGGATGTAGGTACACCACAACTGCATTTCCCCTCCCCATGAATAGTAAATGTTGCATGGGAAAGGCCACTTAAGTTAAGCACAGGTGCCTACTAAAAAGCAGCATTAAAATAAAGCCATCCAGTTGTGTTGGAGGATAAAATTTCCTTTCCATAGGTCCACTCCCATCCAGCTGATGGGATAGAGAGAGAAGATGATGAAGAAGGACGCTAAGCAAGTTCTGTAGGATCAGAGTCTCTCCCACTTATAACAAAAGCAGCACACAGTGGGTTCGACTGGAAATCCACTGCAAAAGAGTAATGCAATAAGTAGAAAGGTGGTTACAAAAATCATTTTTAAAAATAGCCTGAGAAGTCATGGAATCAAGAAGCTGAAGTGGTGCTATTATTACAGGTTGGAGGCATGTACTGTGTGCCTCCTGAGCAAGCAAGAAGCAACAGCATTACAAAAAAATGCACATGTAGATTGGGCCTGGGATGACTTTACTTCATGTTTCTATAATTAAAACTTACTTTTGTCCAGCCTCCCCTTGACCTGCGCATGGTCCATATTTGTAAGCGTAAACAAGCCGAGGGATAAAATCCGAAGTTACAGCAATAACAAATGCATTTGTGATAACTGAAAGAATTCCTATGCCTTCCAGAATTCCATACCAGATTCCTGTGTAATAAAGAAAATGCTGTGTTAATTCCTGGAGCAGCAGAAGAAGTAGCATTTCAAATGCAAATACAGTTGCAACTTATTAGTACAAATGCCATATAACATTGGTTCTAAATTTGCAAGGCATCTGTCTTTTAGTGTGGCAGCAGCTATGCTTTGAAACTCTCTGCCTATTGACATTAAGCTGGCGATCTTGCTATATTGTTTTAAATACAGTGGTGCCTCGCAAGACGAAAATAATCCATTCCGTGAGTCTCTTCGTCTAGCGGTTTCTTCGTCTTGCGAAGCAACCCTATTAGCGGCTTAGCGGATTAGCGCTATTAGCGGTTTAGCGGCTATTAAAGGCTTAGCAGCTTAGCGGCTAAAAGGCTATTAGCGGCTTAGTGGCTATTAAAGGCTTAGCGGCTAAAAGGCTATTAGCGGCTTAGCGGCTATTAGCGGCTTAGCGGCTAAAAGGCTATTAGCGGCTTAGCGGCTTAGAAAAAGGGGGGAGCGAAAAAAATCGCAAGACTCGCAAGACGGAAGCAAGCCCATAGGGAAAATCGTCTTGCGAAGCGCATCGAAAAACGGAAAACTCTTTCGTCTAGCAGGTTTTTCGTCTTGCAAGGCATTCGTCTTGCGGGGCACCACTGTACCCACTGAAAGCTTTTTTTAAAAAAAACTTTAACGATGTGTATAGGCCACTTAATCATAAAACTCTCCAAATAAATAAAATAAATAAAAATATTTACTACTTAATAGGCACATAGGAAGCTGATTTATACCAAATCAGATCACTGATCCATCTAACTCAGTATTCTCAACACCAGGGGTGGCCAGCCCTTTTGGACTATAGGGAACATTTTGAATTTTGAGAGAGTGTAATGGGCAGCCCATAGCAAAATGGTGTGTGGCAAAACACAAAATGGCCATTCTGTATAGGGCTTTGTAACACCAGTATCATGAACTTAGCATGGTAGCTACCGTATTGTTCCACGTATAATATGAGGTTCTTTTATTTAAAAATTATGCTTAAAATTGGTGGGCATCTTATACATGGATAGTGGAGAGGTGGGACGGGCGATTGGTGGCTGCCGCGAGATTGTCAGTGGCGTTTTTGTTGGTGATTGGTGGGTTTGGCAAGGTCCGCTGGCTATTTGCTGCTGTAGTATTAGGGTGGGTGATTGCCGCTTGCTAACAATTGGTTGGTTCATCACTGTGCATGTGATTGGCTGTTTTGGTCCTGTGGGTGAGCTATTTTCAGCAACTCCCCCCCCAAAGTTAAGCAAGTCTGGGCAATCCACCCCCCCGAAAAAAGCTCAGCAACTGTGGGCAATCTCCCCCCCCCAAAAAAAGCTCTTTCAGCAGTAGTGTAACATGATGGTGATAGTCTACCTTAAAGAGCAGTCAAGTCTCAACATTTTGCACTAGATGTAGATTCTGGGGCAAGCTTAGGGGCAGCCCCACAGAGGGAGCATTACAGCAGTCCAACCTAGAGAACAACTGAATGTATGAGCAGATTGTGGCATTGAGCAGACGCTTGAAATTCATAATGGTAAACAGCTTACCTATATCTTTGGCTCTTGAAGCTAATGGCCGCCTCCACTGTGTAACAAATTTGTATGCATCAAGCCGAATTTCAATAATATTGTTAAGTAAGGCCAGAAGTGGAGCAAGTGGAAAAGCTGCCACAAAGATGGTTGTGAATCCAAACTGAAGAACTGTGAAAGGGTGAGAATGAGCGACACACTCAGCCATACACTGGAAAACAACCCAAAATTAGAGTGCTGACTTTGAGCATATCTGCACCATTGATCCATCTTAATGTGTCCCTTGTTATCAAAAATTTCGGCATATTTGTTCTTGAGCTTTAATGAACATGAGAGACAAATGGAAGACCTGGGACCCCACTATGCTTCTATGTATGGCAAATTTACTTGTTTTTAACCCATGACTTCATTGAGTAAGGTGAAGCACAGGGGATGGCTAACCAGAAGCTCTCCAGTGTCATGCCTACTGTTTCAAGTAGTTGATTTAAGTGTTTAAATACCCCTGCCAGCTGCACTCCAACTTACGACTCAAAATTTCAAGCTAGATCCAAAACACTTTGCAAGGCCTTGAGTGTGGGAGATAATTAAAACAAGAATTGTTTTACTCCACTGCAGCACCTCATGCCGTATTGTTGACTCCATATGGAAGTGAACAAATCACCATTCCCAGAATTGGACGATAGTCCTAAAGTAATAGACTGCAACTCAATGCTCTCCATATATTTTGGACTACAACTCCCACCAGTCCCAGTCAGCATGGACAATGGTCAGGTATGATGGGAACTGTAGTCCACAACATACAGAGGGCACCAGGTTGGGGAAGGCTGTCCTAAGCTATATTTGTCCTAGTCTAAGGCAATAATAATTATATAGACTAAATGCAGTAATGCTCCAGATTGTTATACTAAAATAATACATTCTTGTTGTTTGGAAGTAGTGGAATGAAGCATGATATACAGTGGTACCTCGGTTTACGAACTATTCTGTATAAGAACTCCGCAAAACTGGAAGTAGTGTCCCAGTTTGCGAACTTTACCTCGGTCTAAGAACGGAATCCGAATGGTGGAAGGGCACCAGCGGCAGGAGGCCTCATTAGGGAAACAGAATAGATTAAGTTCATAAACCGAGGTACCACTGTATAAATGACTGTGATGGAGCAATTTACACATAGAGTTCTTCATACTCATTTCTAGATATTCATCGAAGAGTCCATAGGCATTCATAGGCTGAAGGTTGTAGTCTTTCTCCCACTGTGGGAAGCTTGCTTTTCGTAGTGAACCGTGCTCCTGTCGCAATCTTCTTCTGGTCCACCAGTTCTGAATTAACCTGCATATGTAGGGGGGAAATGACATTTTTTTCTAACCAACTGATTTCAACATTGTCACCTGCCTCTCCTCCACCATGCCATACTTGTGTTTGCAGAACAGGACAGTTAGTGCGTCCACTCTACTCCTGTTAGTCCATATATCAGACATCCTGCTGTTTGGGGTATCTGCACACTATTTGGATCAATAAGGTTATATAATGAGAGGATGAAAAATGCTGGAAGAGACATTCAGGTGCCATGAGTAACTCATAAATATCAGGCACAAAGTCTGTTATGTGACAGCCTTCAGGTTCTACAATATCCATTAAAAAAAATAAGTGGGGTTCGAGTCAGACGAGTCCAAATGCAATTTTGTCCTTTGTCTCTGTTTATTGTATTAAAAGAGATTGAACAGCAAAGTTAGTTAGAACTCTTAGGAAATTTTAGAAATTAACACACCAAGCAATTCATGACATAGACATGTTTTTGTGATGCACAGCTGATTGTGTAGATTAATAGCCATTGTTGACCACAAACCAATGTTGTTACCTCCAGATAATATAAAAGGAAAAAAGAGAATGCATACACATTTTAGTCTGATTGATTGGTTTGTGTAACTCCCATTGCAAAGGGCAGAGCTAATTGTTGGAACTAATCAGAAGAGGAAGCGTGTTCAGATGTGTGGAGTTCCTTTAAAAAGGGTGTATTTGTGAGGACTGAATGTTCAGTATGCTAGGAAGCAGAGATAAGTGGGGAAGCTAATAACTACAGTACATGTTGTCTGCTAACAAGCGAACCAAGTGCTGATGCAATAGGTACAACTCAGGACATTATACAGGAAGCCATAAAAGATTTATAAGTTACTCTGTGCAACATACACAGCTGCCCTTACTTGGAAATAAATCCCACTGAAATGAGTGAGACATCCTTCTTAAGTATACAGGGCTAAGACTGGGCTGTCAGTCTCCAAGCCAAAAGCATGGTTTCTAAAACATAGATGTATAAATCAGCTTACCTATTTCAACAGGACTTTAACTGAAGCACTACTAGGTCCTACCACTTCTAAAATCAGCAGTATTGATTTAGTGATGTAAAATATTTCAATCCATTTTCTATATAAGGAGTTTTGAGCTATTCAATTATTTGTCATTTTGATGTTGGGTATTATTTATACCATTATGTTTCAACATGTGTATGTTTTAATCAATTAATTACAACATATTTCACTTTATTGTATAAAACACAGGTGAATGGGTTCTATCTGCTCTTCTCAGAGCACTTTTCCTCCTATCTCTGTTTTTGAAGGGGGGTGGGGAGAATGAATTCTGTAGAACTATATAAATAATCTGCTTGCAAAACCATAGAAAACAAGGCAAACCTATCTAGCCACCTATCTATCAAGCTTCTCTTTCAGATACTCCTTTTGTAAGGTCAAATCTTTCACAGAATAGTCCTGCTACATTATCCAAAGTAGAATGGCTATCAGACAAATACACGAATGAACAAGGTGCATCACATAAAAGACACTTACCAATCGTGGTTTAGCACCCCATCAGTTAAAAACAAGGATTTTTAAAAATAAAATAAAATCCCACAGTTACTTACGGGTAGCCTAGTTCCATGAAGTTGTTCCAAGTCTGCTTTAGCACCATTATAATACCCATTTGCATACAGAGATCTATAAGGCATCCACTAGGGTGGCACTGTAGGGGGAGGAGGGAGGGGGCAAAGGAGCAAATAATGGGCCGTCAAAGAGTCAAAATAGCTTGCATATTAAATTTATATTACAAAACACATTGCAAGTTCAGGGTTCAGTGACAATGTAATCCTATACATGGTTAAAGGTAAAGGTAAAGGTACCCCTGCCCGTACGGGCCAGTCTTGACAGACTCTAGGGTTGTGCGCCCATCTCACTCAAGAGGCCAGGGGCCAGCGCTGTCCGGAGACACTTCCGGGTCACGTGGCCAGCGTGACATCGCTGCTCTGGCGAGCCAGAGCCGCACACGGAAACGCTGTTTACCTTCCCGCTAGTAAGCGGTACCTATTTATCTACTTGCACTTAGGGGTGCTTTCGAACTGCTAGGTTGGCAGGCGCTGGGACTGAACAACGGGAGCGCACCCCGCCGCGGGGATTCGAACCGCCGACCTTTTGATCGGCAAGCCCTAGGCGCTGAGGCTTTTACCCACAGCGCCACCCGTGTCCCATTTTGGTCAAGCCACGTCCATCGGCTGACACCAAATGTCACGTATGGAAGGTTAGGCTGAAAGGGATTTCACACGCGTATGCACATATTACATCCACACCATATATTTAAAGTGTGTGGCTTCTCCCAAAGAACCCCCAGTGTCCATTAAGGGCCCTGGAAATTGTGGCTCTGTGAGGAGTAAACTACAGTTCTAAGGATTCTTTGGAGGGAGCCATGTGTTTTTATATTGTCTGGTGTGGATATCTAATGGCTGGTTCAAATATTCAGTTGCTGAACAGTTACATTTCTTCCACACAACCATTCATAGAAGCCAACTCCTAGGGGCCATGGGGGCAATAAAACAATTGAGGGGGCTGAGCTGCCCCTGAAGTTGATGGGCATTCCCATTCAAATGGTGTGTGTGCACTGCATCATGTGATCGATTATGCAGGGCGGGGCTTACCTGTGCCCCCACAGTATTTTATTCAAGTTGGCACCCCTGTCATCATTATCACCATTTCTTGTAATGAGAACATTCCAATCACCCCCAATTTTACAAAAAAAGCACCTCAGATAAATGGTGACATCTACTACAGTTGCTTATGGTGGTCTCCCACCATCTGGAAGCCCCCAAGGGTACACTGCTGCTGATCTCACTCCCCTAGGCTCCCTCTTCTGCTGCTTCTGCAGCATGTTATCCATGGCCCCCATGAAATAAACATGGGGGTGCACTACACAAGAGGCCCACTACCAAGGGCCCCCACAACCTGGGGTCCTGAATCTCTGTGTGAGGTTCATAACATGCAGACTGGGTGCTTTCAGATAGGTATTTCTTTGGTGGGATTAGTGCATGCATGTTTTCCAGGGTCCACACAACATCATCAGAATAAGAACGCCCACCAGTACTTCATCCAGATTTACCCTTTCCTTGGAAAAGTGGATAAGTAAAAGCAAGCAAAAAATAAAATAAAAAACCCAACCAAACAAAAAACCTGTTGTCTGCTTATGGCACCTCAACGACCTCTTTACAATCTAAGCGCCAACTGCCACTTTTTTTTGAGGTGTTAAGTTTTGATGAGGGACATGACTTTAAAAGTGTTGGCACTTTCAAAGGAGTGTCTCCCCTTGTGACAAGTGATATGGTAGAGTCATGTGAGAGGACAGGAGCACCCCAGCAAATGAACATTTTAACTGGTTCTAGAAAGGGAGAACAAAATGTAGTAGGGTCCCACTTCTAGCAAAAGCCATGATGTCATCCTTTAAACTGCTGTTGTTGTTCAGAGAGGGATTTTAAAAACCCTCAAAATATTCGCAAGGTTCAGTTGAAAAGAAGCGATTTGTCTATTAGCTCTTAAATTCCTCACTCAACGATACACTAGTTTTTATTTGTTTTTATTTATTTTATATAACATTTCATTTCCATTTTTAATTATAAAATTATATAATATATTATATTCAATCACATATATTCTAGGCATTCCTATTTTCCAGAGTGAATCATTTAGCTGCCATAGGACAGTATTTGTCTCTAGTTTGTACCAGTTGCAGCACTGTACAATATGCCTCAATATGCCACTTACCTCTTCTAGTCTCCATCTGTTTATCAGCCTCAAGTAGGCACCAGGGTGACCTGTAAATCTTCAACATAAGAGAAACCATCATCCCTTTTGTGTTAGATTTCTGATCACAACAGGAAAAGACCAAACACAATCATTCCAGCTATATTTTTCTAAGGGAAATGACAATAATATGCATTTAAATAGCATTTCTAAATATGCATTTAAATTAAATTATGTCTGAATATATGAAAGTCATTATTGATAGTCAGCATAGAGAGGTTATCACTCTGAGCAAATGTTTACCCACAGTTCCTTTCTGGAACTTCAGCATTAAAATGCTTTGAACCTAGCTGGAAAACCAGGATGTGCAGTTCATCATGAACAACTCCTGTACAAGTGGTAAGTGTGGATATCAGCTATTCTACAAAGATCATTCATTACAAACTAGGTTGCCTAGAAAACTTTCCTGATTGTAGCTGTACTGGAATACTGATATTCTTGCTTGCCCTGAGCTTTTATATAATGGTTTCACAGCCTGAATGAAAAATAAATTTAAAATGCAACTTCTAGAGGACGTTTCAGCCCTGCTGTATAAATGCTTTGCAACAGGTGCAAATTTTCCATCCAACTTCCCTCAAGCAAATGATAAATCTTAGTTTTCAGGTGTTTGTAATGTACATTTCACATTAACACTCATTATCAGGTTCCATTAACAGGTATCATTGATGTAATAGACAGTTGAGAGTAAAAATGGAAAGTCTAAAGGCACTTGACATCTTGTACCCAGCAGCACAGGACATACAGAAAAGTACATTAGGCAATCTGTATGTAAACTATGAGAATTCTCTTTCTTATCCTCTCCCCCTCCTCTCTCAACTCAATCATGCCAGTCTGCAACTCATTTTGTGCTTGACTGAGTGGAGTAAGGGGTTGCTTGTATTCTGTTATATTTGATTGATTGTGGTGTTTCTGTTGTTATATTTTATATTGTAATCCATCCTGGGATCATAAATTGGTATGATAGGCAGGGTAAAATTAGGGTCAATGAGTTTACTCTGACAATAACCCTTTAAATTTTAACCACTTTTCATATTAACCTGGATAGCAGCAGAATTTGATAGGATTTCTGTAAAACATGATACTCTCGGCATAGATATTATTTATGGTATATTTAACACAGGAATCACCAATGTGGTGCCCTGCAGATATTGTGAGATCCTCACTGCCAACAGTCCCAGCCAACTTGGCTAATGGTATGAAATGATGTTTAAGTCCAACAATATCTGGAAGGTACCATGTTGATGACCTCTGCTTTAGCACTTAAAATTAACAGCAATATCATCTTTCCACTCCATCTCCCTTGATAGTTTTCTACAGCTTCCCAGGCAGGCACAATGCACATTATTAACCTTACCTTCCAAGAAAGAATGCTATATAAAAAGTAGAGCTGTTCAGATTGACAAACTGAAAAAGGAACATTTTCAAAGTGAAGCTGTTCTCCCACTCAGATTCAGTTCGAGGTTGCTCTGTGAAAAAGGGAGAGCAGATTTTAAAGACATGTAGTCAGATTTAATTGTCTGGTAAGAGTTATTTATTTATTAAAAACTCTGCAGAGCTTGCACTGTATTTGCAAACAAAACGGCTGATCTTGCAGCCCAATCCTTGTTCAGATGCAGTATGTCTGACTCCAGTTGCCTGAGAGCAGTAGCAAGAGAGGGCCATTGTCCTGCGTGCGGGCTTCTTAGAGATGCTACTGGTTGACCACTTGAGAAACAGAATAGAACTGCACAAAAAAGGCCTTTGGTCTTTCTGATTAAGCAGAACTCTTCTTTCGCTCTGATAAATGGTTACTCAGACATAAGTCCCACTGTCTTTAATGGGCTTCAAAGTATGAGGCATAGGATTCCACATTTAATTTAAGAACCAGACAATGCAAATTTTATCAGTATGCAAGCAAAAGCAATGCATGCTTAAAAATTCTACTCTGGGATCATCTATCTGGTTTTGTAAAAATTTGCGACAGATGAAAATGACTGAATCGTAAATTTGCCAGAGGATACACATTTTGTTCTGTTTCAAATTGCCAAACGGAAAGACTGCCTGGCATCTCCATGTTTATAGAAGTCTTGTCCACTGGGTTCACTTCTGCCGTATACTGTAATTAAATTGACAGAATGTGCTCTAAGACACTGGATTATAAATTCCAAACTGACAGTCGGTTTGGAGAGGACTTTGCTTCTTAATGTTCGTTAGGGTGACTGGGAGACCAACACTCCAATTAGGACATAAGCATGTGAACCAGCAATTCAAACACCCACTCAGGCATAGAATAGGCATGCCACAGAGACCCTGGGGTGAAAGGAGGGGAATCAAGCTTGAGAAATAATGAAACATCATATTTGCCTTATAGAATACTGGAAGGAAAAATTCCAAACCACAATGGAGTCATTTTGCTACAGCAAAAGACTTGAGTGACTTTCTGTCCCAGGATCCTGGTTCTTAAACTCTTTGTATCTGTTCTGGGATCTATTCTGACAGTCAACTCTGCATAGATAGGTGAAGGAGTGTGTTGTACAATATTGTTTTCCCCTTCCACCCACCTGGGATTCAGTATACATACTGGGTCTATGAACAGGATTAGTGTGTGAAATACAAAATTAATACATGAGATCCTATGAGATATGGCAGGGACTGAATCTGGAACCCAGGGCTGGTTCGAGACTTTTTGGCTTCCCAGGGGCTAACTATAAGGTAAAAGCCATCATCCCATCCCTACCATGGGCAGAAGTCTACTGGACTGGCACAGCTCTATACTCCAACAACTCAACATCTGTCAACTAGGGCAGTTGCTTCAATGTGTCTAATGGTAGGGCCAACAATTCTGGAACCTTCTACATACAAAGCATGTGCTCTGACATTAAACTACGATCCCTCCTCTTAAACAGCACTTATTTAAGGAGATGTTATCTTTCATACAAAAAAAAGCAATGAAGAGCTAATTAGTACAAGCCAAGGAGTGTGTTTGTGTACTAACTGCACACACAAAAGCTGGTGCATACCCTTTTGAGGCACAGAGTTGTAACCTGAGCTTAAATATTCAGTTGTGTAATTAAAAAAGTATTAAATGAATATTACAGAAAAATATGCATAGTATCTATTGGAGGTAGAAAGTGCATACATATGTGAACTTGCACATTCCAATATAAACCTTCATTCATGAAGAGTGGATTTAAATGTCATTCAATATGTGCTTCATTTTTATTATTACTTACCTAAATTTGTAAGAAAAAGAGCAACCTTTTCATACAACTGCAACGAAACAAGAAACAACATCTAAATAGATTGTAATGTAATAACAAAAATTGCATTTTTGAAAATAACATCATGTTATTTGCCCAACTCAATCCTTCCTCATTGGTACAATGACTATTATATGAGAAGTACTTTTTATTTAAAAATGAACTTGGGTTCTGGCTAGAACTATTTCAAACATCCTGCTGGACAAATGTCTCTTGGCGCTTACACTTTGTATGTGTCTCTGAACCAGGAGAACACACCCAGAGCTGCCTTGGAAGAGCGTTTTGCCTTAGAAAGCAGTGTATAAATTAATTAAATAATAAACAAATAATTTAAAAGCTAAAACTGTATCAATCAGTTATTGGGTGGGAAAGCATTATTTGCTAAGGATGTCAGCTTTTGATAAGGTTTCAGGTTTTCAAAAGAGTTCCTTGAGCCATGGGCCATCTAGGCTTGGAAAGGTTTGTGAAAGCAGACTTCCTTCCACACTGCTAAGGTCCCTTGCTAGATTGAGGGATATGTTCTGTATTGGATATGCCTCCGACATTTTCAAATGCTAGTTGAGATTTTAAAATCCCTGTACCTCTTTCTCCACCAGTGAATTTTGTCACAACACCACAATATTTGGGGTTCACTTATTTTCAAATGTATGGAAAGCAATACTGATATGTGCACCACAATTCAATGCTGTGTCCAATGGGGCTTACTCTCCAGGAAGCATGTGGAGGGCTGCAGCCTAATAAGCAATTGTTTCTCTGAGATAAAGGCAGTGACAATTTCAATGGAAGCTCTGCAGTTGTCTTAGGAGATATTGCTTGAATGTCCTTTAATCAAGACATCTAATCTTCTCAAGACAAATGCATACAAGAATAAATTAACGCCAACTGTATTCTCTTGCACATTAATCTCTTTGTTGCTCTTAAACTTGTAGTTGCTGCATTATTTATTTAGAATTTTACTGAAAGTCCTTTCAAATAACATGTTTTCTGCTTAGGCTAGAGCTGAATTTGACCATTAAAAAAAAGTTGAAATGCATTATTCTTTTTTTAAAAAGTACAGAACTGTTTGAAATGTACTCCAATATTGTTATCTCTACTTACAACATTCAGTAGCATGATGATGCAAAAGTTGATGCATACAGCAGTCCCGGTAGTTGCAACCTGAGAGTTATTCCTGATTAAAGCCCATTTAAAGGCAGCAAAAGTGCTGACAGTCACGACACGGTAAATAACAATGCCGAAAACAGCAGCAATCACCACACAGATCTAAAGGGGCAGGGGAAGAACAGATAGAACAGACTGAAAATCAACCCACTAATAATAAATTTCCTCCTGCAATTGTCAAGAAGTGAAGACTAAATCCAAACATTCCAGGGATGACCCAGAAATGTATTCTGATTTTCTCAAGAAGTTTGAGACACTGGTGGTGTATGATGTGTGTAGGCTATGGGACAATTCTGAAAGCTACTTGTTCTTCTTGCATGTTGGATTGCTTCCACATTTTAATAGAATGTCATCTTTTTGTCCTGTGTCCAAAATACCAAGTCTGCAAAAAGCCAATTACCGTAAATCTAGCCATATAATTTCTTCTCTGTACAAGTCCCAAATTATTACAATTAAACACCAGCACCATCATTATCTTAATCACATAGAGGGCTTTCTAGACTGTGGTGTCCCTGACATGGAAGACCCTCCCCAAGGAGGCTTAGCTGCTATCTTCTTCGAGATGCCAAGGATAAACTTCCCAATTTGCCCAGCATTATTTTAGCTTTGCTGACTGCTCAGTTACCCATTGTTTCAAATGTATTACAGCTGGGTGTCCCCCCCCTTTAATGAACTATAGGTTTGTTTGCTGTTGTTTTTTAAAAGAAGTGTCTGTAAGGCACTTCCTATTTATTTTATAATGAAAAAGTGTACATATATTTTTTGAACGAAATAAATAACATGTGTCCACTTTTCCACTCTGTTTTCAAAATACAGGGTAGAGCCTATGCCTTGGAAGGAACTTGAAACAATGCAAAATATGCCATAACCAGAATTGCAACATTCAAGCTGCAATCCTATACGAACTTACCTGGAAGAAAGCCCCCACTGAACTCAATGGGGCTGTCTTCTGAGTAGATATCTATAAAGGATTGCAGCAACAAATTTGCATTTCTCTAGATGGGAACTTCATTTTTCTCTTCCTCTCAACAGCAAAGTTACTTAGGCTTTGGGAAGTCCTTTCAGAATGTTGACAGTTTCACACTTTTTATCTGAAGGGTTCAACTAGGCTTTGTTTCAGCAAAGCAATTAAACTAACAGTTGCTTAATTGCTTTTCTGATTAAGGCCAATTTAGAAACATGCTCAGCTGTTCTGCTGAAGTGAGGCCTTATGCTGAGCACACCCAAACCTCTTATGATGACACCATGATGTCCGCTTCTTCTCAGAGGAGTCAATTAACACTAATGCTCAACGATACAAAAAGAACTCAGGTCTCAAATGAGATCTTTGAAGAACTAAGTGAATACCACTGATATAGAAATGGTCTCTAGTCCATTGAGTAGGCTCAAGTGTATAATGTTTGCAAAGTGCTTTGAGACCTTCAGATGATGAAGTACTTACTTAAATGGAAAGCATTATTACTGTCAATATGGGAGATGAAGCAACAAAAGCAAGGACAGAGTGGTTTGCTGAGCTTCATTTCCTAGTACACAGAACAAAGCAAGCAAGCCCTCTGGCTTTTGCCCCTTAGAGAAGCACTTCAGCTTGTAAACTTTTGAAAACCCATTAATGACTGTGGTTACAATTACTATTACATGGCAGCTTGAAACACCCATCTACTTCCTTGCAAGAAAACATTCTGCTTTGGGCTCTTTTAATGCTGAAATGCCTTTACAAAATGTAGTCCAGCTATTTAAGAATAAGTAAAAAAACACCACTTCAGAAAATTGTGATCAAGTATTAAAATTGAAATAGCGAATTGTTTATCAATAATCCTCAAGCCAATCCTCTTCAGTAACACAACTAAAATTAAGGTTGGCTTACTCACAGTCCTGAAAAAGAAACATTAAATTTACGTTACACACAAATCCTTAATACAGCCATTCCAAACCATGACGGTTTTCCTATGCATGAATATATTCAAGGACAGGGAAATGGGCTTGTCTGCGTCATGAGAATTGCGCAGGCAACTGTCTTAAAATGTGGGAATGCAAGTGGGCTGCCTCTTCAACAAATTAGGCACATTTTCTTTCAAGATCAAATCAATATTATTTTGATCTGTTGTTGCAGGGCCCCTAAAAGGCCGGTGCCTCTTCTGCCTATTTGGTAATCCAGCACTGAATGCATCATGCTCTAAAATAACCTAACGTGTCCTGTACATAATGTGTCCTGCACGTAAGGTAGGCAGGAATATGTGGTGGAGTAATTTGAATGTGAAATCTCCTGTTTTATACTAGAGTGGCATAGTCTCATGAGTACAGTACTGTATCAGTTGCTTTTTCTGAATATGTTAGTAACACCTAAGTTTTCCAGTCAGCAGAACCTTCTGGCAGGTAAAAGTTTCAGGAACAGCATGCTAAAATACCTTTATACAATGGTTCCTTATAAAACAACTGTGTCAGACCGTGACACAAACCATTTTAAACACCAGGAACAGCTTAATAATATTATGGAATTAATCTATGAACTCCCCCCATTTTGCTAACAGAGATGAGAAAGTCTAGTTTTCAGACAATTCAAAAGGAATTATATTTTTCAAACCATAAAAAATATTCCAGATGCAGAAACAATAATTCTGCTGCATTTATCTGCAAATGCTTGATAAGGCTCCGGTTTTCCAGATATGGGATTCATTCGTTCTTTCTTCGAGTACTTGGCTTCAAACTGGGGCCTTATTTCTTCCTAAAGAACATGAAAAATTTTAAATATAGAATTAGACAAAGTCCTGTACAGGAAGCCCCAGGTTATCAGAATTTTGTCAATATTACATGATTTAATTTAACATGAAAAGCAGTTGGGATATATCTGCTGAGTAAATGCTTTCTGCTGCTGCTAGAAACTAAGGGTTTTCTATAGTACTGGAATTCCTTCCCGAGGATAAAAAATATTACTTAGCAAGGGAGTCAGAACTGTAGGATCACCTTTAGGATCACCGTCTCTTCCCAGATTCTGCCTCCAGGTGGAATTACACAAGCTAGAAAGATACAAGCAACATACTGAACAGACTAACTTTGGTCTGTGTGATCCTGAGTAAATTCTGGATTGGGCTGCTGCCAATGAGGGAAACAGGAATGTCACAATCCACAGCTAAAAACTAAGCTCTGTGGTAAATTAACTTATTTATTCCTATGAACAAAGCTATTAAAAGATGTGTGAAGAAGATTCACAAGATCACACCAGCAAATTATGTAATATGCTCTGCTGAGTAAGATGAGAGGATTGATAGCAGATGCTAGCAATTAATAGAAGCTTCAATAAACTTAATTCCATTATATACCTCCGCAGAAAATGAAACAGCTGTTCTGTTTCTGGCAAGGAGTGTTGTATTTACTGAGTAAAGTATCCCTGACCCAGATTAGGTCTTTGTGCCCTCCACAAATCAGCCTACTGACATATTGTAGGCTCACAACAAGTCTCCTGTAAGCCACCATTTCTTAGGTGGCAAGAAAATAGCCCCTATCTACTAGACATGCCAGTTTTTCATGTAAAAATTATCTGCACGGAGAAGCACTCAGCCATGCAAATCCCCCACCTTTATTCGAATACTGGAACAGCCTTACAGTGATTTAGCAAGTTGCAAATGAGTACCAGTCCCACACTTCTCTCTCTCCCCTTGCATATAAACTGCTTCAGTCCTGGTCTGTTTAAGCTAGACTTCCTGGTTACATCCAAAGCAGGGAACTCTGGTTTAATGTAAGTTTACTAACCAGTATTGATTGGTAAACTGGTATTGAAGCAGAGTTCACAATTTTGGGTATTACAGGGAATTGTGGTTTAAATACAACAGGGTGGAAGGGCCAAAGACAGTATGTAAATGAGGTGAGGGAAGGACAACTGCAGAATCCCGATGTCCTTTCCTGGCTTGCTAAACCATGGTTTGGCAAGCTGATATCCTTATACCCAGCATACAGGCTTGCCACTTCAGGAAGAAATAGGTCTAAGACTTCACAAAGTTGCCTCGCTTTGCCTGTACAGCTGCCAATCAATTTTATTTTAGGAATTGTTGCTTGGCTGATTTCATCCACCTGCTGTGTCAGTGACTCAGCTAATGTAAAATGCCATGGCCTAGAAAGGCTCCGGAAAGGATGGAAGGGAATCAAACTCCATGCTGGGATAACTCTCTTTCTTTCTCTAAAGCTGAATCTGTATTTTGAAGCCAACTTAACTAAATATTCTTCCTACTCTCACTGGTAAAGCAGCAGCATAGACATACAAACCTCCTCTTCTTCCCAGTCTATCAAGTCCCAGTCGTAGGCAATTACTGCTCGTCTTCTTTTCCAAAACTCCAGAAAAACAGTTGCTATAGTAGAGAAATGGAAATAAATATTAACAAAATACCACATTAATTTATTTATCATCTCATTGTAGTTGAATAAGGGTACGTTTTATTTTATCGTGCAAACAGACATATTTTATTTTGAGGAGCAAAACGTACTACTTTTGTAAAACCACTTGTCCTATGTGAATAATGCTTAAGCAGTCAACTTACTTCTCAGTGTTAAAAATAAGTAAAAATAAACAATTTTTAAACTGCAACAGGCGACCAAATGAGAAATTCTGTGATGGCTGTGTACTCCTCCTTTCCAGTTTGGAACTACACCTCTTGATTCTAAAGATTAACACACTACTACATTAAGAGATTTTCAATCAAACATATCACTGAAAATCTATTACCTGAATTCTGTATCTGGAATATCAGGATTCCAGCTGAGCCAGCAGCCCACCCACATTCTGTATCTGGAATATCAGGATCCAGCTGATCCAGCAGCCCACCCACACTGAAGACATGGAGAAACCCACACCAGTACAAAAGCAGCCTGAAGAGATGCCTTGCCCATCCTGATCCTTGCCTTGACCCCCAATTCTCTCCCACCACTCCCAATCCACAGAAACAGATGAGAAGCCCAAACTTGCTAGAGGAATGCCCATTTGGCAGCCAGGCAGCGCTATTAGCAGGGAACTATTGTGGTGGGGAGAGTCTAATCTACCCAGTATGGGGGGGGGGACACAACTGCAAGCCATCACCCAGCTTACAATAACGATCCTGCTGAGGACCAGATGGAGCAGGGCTAGGTAACATGTGGTCATCTAGGCATTACTGTCCAGGTGGAAAAATCAAAATTGGAAACAGAACTGTTAGATCCCAAAACTAAGACTTTGTCAAGGATGTATAACTTGCTGTTGAAATGGAATACGCAGGATGAAATGGTGAAATCTGCTATGATTAAGTGGGCACAAGATGTTGGACATAACATTATGATGGCTGACTGGGAACAGTTATGGACCACAGGTATGAAGTTTACGGCATGTAATGCCTTAAGAGAGAATATTATGAAAATGATATACAGGTGGTACATGACACCAGTCAAGCTTGCAAAAATCTATCATTTGCCCGATAATAAGTGTTGGAAATGCAAGGAAACTGAAGGTACATTCTTTCACCTTTGGTGGACGTGCCCAAGGATTAAGGCTTTCTGGGAGATGATATATAATGAAATGAAAAAGGTATTTAAATATACCTTCCTGAAGAAACCAGAGGCCTTTCTCCTGGGCATTGTCGGCCAACTGGTGCCAAAGAAGGATAGAACTTTCTTTATGTATGCCACAACAGCAGCGAGAATACTTATTGCAAAGTATTGGAAGACACAAGATCTACCCACACTGGAAGAATGGCAGATGAAGGTGATGGACTATATGGAACTGGCGGAGATGACCGGCAGAATCCGAAACCAGGGAGAAGAGTCGGTGGAAGAAGATTGGAAGAAATTTAAAGACTATTTACAGAAATACTGCAAAATTAATGAATGTTAGAATGATGTTGGATTGAAGTAAAGTGGGTTTCAGCAGTAATGTTATAAAGATGTGCAAAAATGGATTGTTAACAGGGGATAGTCTAAAGTTATAATATATTAAGATTAAAGATTAGGATAAAAATAAAGAGGGAAAGGATTTGCTGAACCTACTAAATGAATTGGATACAAAAAAGGGAGGTGTGAGGAGGTCCGGGGAACAGGCAAATGAAAAATAAGATATGAAAAGACTGAACTGTTTCTAACTGTTTTTATTTTGTATTTTTCTTATTTTATTTTTGTAATACTTTGAAAACTTTAATAAAAATTTATTTTTTAAAAAAAGGCATTACTGGACTGCAACTCCCATCAACTCTGACCATCACTTATGCTGATTGGGACCAATGGGAGTTGTAGTCCCAGGAAGGCCACAGGCTCCCTAGTCCTGCAGTTGAGGAAGTGACTATGTAAGTCCCTCAAGCCTTCTCTGAACTTTTGCTCAATAGTTCCCTTCAGAGCTCATTAATGTCCCAGCTCTAACTCCTTTTGGGCATTATTCACGAATGACATTGGAACATAGGAGGCTGTCTTATACTGAGTCAGACTCTACATATATCTAATTCAGGGTTGTCTCTGCTGACTGGCCATGGCTCTCGAGGCTTTCAGACAAGACTGCTTTTCAGTCATAGCTGGAGATACCAGGAAGTGAACTTGGGATCTTTCCCATGCAAAGCATGTGCTTCACCATTGAGATTTGGCCCCCTCCCCTGCAAAGCACACCATCTAAATCCTGCAGATCTAATATTGTTCCTGAAATAAATGTTGCGTCTGGACGTTATCGCTTGAGCAAGGATTTGACTGTGTTTGGCTACAAAGGCCATAAATTCTGCAGAGCCTTTAATCTCAGCCAGGTATCAGACAGAAAGAGCTTTATTCTTTCGGAAAACATGAACATTTGCTACTTTCCAGAACATAAATCCTCTACATTAACAGGATTGTGGACTATGTTGGCAGACAACTGATTGAGTGCCAAGGGCCACATTGAAACATGTTGGTGTTGTTAATTTAATATTGAGTTCAAGTTATCAGTAGTCTCTGAAAAGCATGAGCATGAACATGATGAACAAACGCGCCGTCTGGAAACTTTCTAAATTAGAAAGTGTGACCTACAAATGTGTGTGGGGTGGGGCAGTGAAATGAGCCCAGAGCACCATTAAAATCATCAAATATTTAGAACAGAATAAGATTTTTAAAAACAAAAAAGTACTGACATAACCTACCTTTAAAGCAGAACTTACCCCACACTGCCATGAAAACAGCAAAAAACACAGTAGCCCCATTGTCAAAAAGATGTGTTACCTGTGAAAAGACAATCAGGTTCAGCCATTCATTTTAAATATTCTATTCAAAACTATCGTTTTCCATTGTGTAAAAAATAACCTTATCTCTACACACGATCTCTAACACTCAGTCTCTCTCTCTCTGACACACTGACACTGACTGACTGACTGACTGACTGACTGACTGATGTGGTGCTGGAGCTGAATAAGTAGAGAGCAGAACACCGCCCCCTCCTCTCTGGAAAATCACCAGACTCATCAGGAGATTCTTGGATATGGGAGGGGTGAAATCTCCTCAAGCCAACCCTTGGGTATGTTTTTACAACCAGACCACTATTGCCACATGTCAGTCTGTTGGTAGCCTACAGTAATATATTCCTCTTTGTACGAGCCTTTCGGAAATCATGCAGTCATTAAGCTATCAAAGGGAAATCTGCTTGAACTGTTCTCCTGAGGGGAAAAACATAAGACCCTGACACACAGGCAAGCAATTAATTACACTGAGAAGATATATGTGAATTAAAAGCTCAAGACACAAGTGTCAGCTGCACAAAAAGACCTCATCAGACCATCATGCAGATTGGCTACATTTCTTGCTATCATACGAAGAGTTGCATGATTGCAGAGAAGAGGCATGCTTCCGTGATTTATTTTAGAATGTATAAAGCTCACAAAGGAAAAGTACAGAATTGCACCATTGAACATAAAGTGTAAGGCTGTGCACCAGATCCAAGCCAAATTCGAGCTATCTGGACGGATTTGGGCCTATCCCAGTTGAGCTGAGACAGTCACAGACCACTGAAGGTGGTGTTGGATTACCCAGGGGAAACTGGGGCTGTCACGGAGTGGACATCAGGCAGGAAGGAGAAACATAATTCTGAAGGAGAGTGCCATGGGGGATTTGGGGCTTACCTTCCCCCTCTCTCCTGGCTGGGGGTGAGTGTGAAAGAATAATAGCCAATCTAACCTTGTAGCCAGATCTGGGAGCACAGAGAGGCCTTATTCTGCTCTATGTGAAAATCCAGTGCTATGGCACTGGGAAACTTCCTTAAAAACCTAAGGAGAACCACTATCAATTGGAGGGTTAATGTTGTGAGCCCTTCCTACTTATACTCACACTGTATATATATGTAGATAAAACCATATAGAGACACCAGAGTTTGTAGTGACCTTCATTCCAAAGCAGGGTTTTTTAACCTGTGGTTCACAGACCCTTAGGGGGTCTATGGATGAGCTTCAAGGGGGCCATGAAACAGAAAAACCCAGAAAAAAATAAGTTCAAGGGGTCCATAGCTTTCATCAGATTTTCAAAGGGGTCCGTGACCCAAAAAAGGTTAAGGACCATGCTTCTAAACTAGGAAACCAGGCCTGAGGTATTGACTGTCACTTCAAAGTTCCTCAGTGTTCAGAGGCTGAGGTGAACAGTCGGTATGTTATAGTGATTAGAGTGTTGGGCTGGCATCTGAGAGATCAGAGTTCAAATCCCCATTCAGTCAGGAAGCTCACTGACCTTGGGCCAGTCACTGCCTCTCAACCTAACCTACTTGACAGGGTTGTCGTGGGGAATAAATGAGGGAGGGGAGAACCATGTGTGCCACCTTGAGATTGGAGGAGAAAAGGTGGGATGTAAATTAAATAATATTTTTAATGTAACAATACCATAGTTGGTCCTGCTTCTATTAGTAATACTTTAATTTCCTAAGCAGAGGCATCACCCTTGAAGGAGTTGCACTCATTTGCACCAAAGTTAAATTTAAATAATTTGGAAGTTTTAAAAAAGCAAACAATGTTTTTCATGGTACTAAATAAAACACTGTTGCTGGAATGAAGTCAAAAGCATTTTTAATAAAAAATAAATAAATTACCTTGGCATAAACACAGCTGTCGGACAACCTCATGAAGGGGCAGTATTTATCACATATAGGGCACATTATAATCTCTGTAGCTTGGCAGACTTCTTTACTGGAAAAGAGAAGAGATCATGATTAATAGCTCAGTTTATAACTAACATGCTTCAGAGTGCTTTCATAATTTGGGCAGTGGAGTAGTGAGCAGGAGAAAAACAGAACAAACCTAAAACAAGCCATTTTTTTTACTTCAGAAAAAGTTAGTAGTAGTGGTAGTAGTAGTTGTTTAAGAGCTGCTAAGGAGGGTAAAACAAAAGATCAGAACAATACTGGTGTGTGGGAATGTTAAATAGCAACTTAATACATTTATTTATTGAATTGAATACATTTATTTCAGCTAGTTGTATAATAATTAATCACTAAATACCTCCATGCAATGCTTGCTTATATCAAATACACTAGTATACATGTTTTGTTTTCACTTCACCTGACTTGGCAGTGGTTCAATGTGGCTACTCCATACAAAAAGACAAAGAGTCCAACGAAGGCAGCTGGGAAGAGCATTCCTGTATACCAGCCTAACCAGGCAAAGTACAAGCCAATTTTCTCACCAAAGTACCGTCTGTCAAAAACACAAGGCAACAAAGTTATGAAGACATCTTTAATAGGATTGAACACAGGTTCTTAACATAAAAGTATATTATTCAGAGACTCAGAAGAATGACATTTTACTTATATTAAAAACAAGGGGCAATTGTTCAAATGGATGGTTCATCAGCTCTCTAAGTTATAGCCCAACCAACCTATCTACTTGCATTAACTCCACACCTTGTATTTTGCACGGTACAATGTCTTTTTGTGGGGCAGGTTGGCATGTTCCAAAGATCTTCCTTGAAGTTCAGGCTTTACTTGCCAAATGCAGTCAATTTGTTTTTTTATTCCTCTGTCAATCAGAAGGTCCCTTGGGTCTTCCGACTGAACTGATAAACTTGTAACCGTAATGTGGTCTTTTGTGACAAGGACAGCAGGTTGGCAGTGTAAAAACAACACTGGCAACAGCTGCAGATCTGTCTTTGCTGCATGAGAGAAACTTCTGGCCTAATTGTTTGGCTGACATACTGAATAGCAATCTGGGTTCGCTCCAGTGCAAAGGAAAACTTAAAGTCTATGGGATTTACATGGCCTACTTGAATCCAAGTCTATAATTTAAAACTGTAAAGCAAAGTAGAAGCAGAACACTCAGCTAAGATTTATTTATACTGCTGTTCTCCACTTCCTAGGATAGGTGCCTTTCTCTCTCTCTCTCTCATTTCCTTCAGTACTTGAAATCCCTGCCCAGTCCTGCAGCTGCAAGAAGCAGTGCACACATTGTGACTTCTGATACCAATGAGCAGCTGCTTCCAAGACCCCAAATGATGCCAGCGTTAATTTATGCATTGCAAAAGGACGAGGAGCGGGTGTACCAAACTGCTCTCTGTGTATGAATGGGATCCACAGGGCCTCTTCACTTGTAGTTTTAAAAGAGCACAGCCAGTAATGGTTTTATTGGCATACTTTATGTGAACATTGACACAGCTAAACAGTATCATTCACATCATGCTACCATTTAAAAAACCTGACATCACCACTGGCAGAACAGTAATTCAGACGAGAGCTTGGACTGTACTGAGGATGATCAGATCAATAGTTCCATCTCTTTACTCTCCCAGCTCTGTCAGATATGACTGTTGGGTATTATTACTGAGAGATGCTGAAATGCACTTTAGCCACCCAAAGCCAGAAGAACAATCAATAGAGAATGAGTGAACTTCATGGGATCATTTTCACTTCCCATGAGACCTGCTTTGGCAGCTCTGCCTCATTCCTACCCATTCCATCAGATTGATGCCTAACACACACATAAGCACTAAGGGGCTGCGTAACCATGTTGCCCACATAAGCCTATTCCAGGACGTACTGTATGCTTGAAGAGGCTCTGGGGGAAAGTGCTGTCTGGTGTGTGTCCTGCATCAGTAGTTACCTGGCAGCAGACACTGCCGGTTCTCTGACCAGCCCAGGCGGCTGGATCTACCTGCCATTTACATTTCCCACATAGTGACACTCTAAAGCTTGATAGCTAGATCCAGCTCTCTGACGTTTGGAGCGCTGGGCTGGATTTAATTATTTAATGGTGGTCCTGGGTATTTGTCAACAGTGGGCCCTGACAGTGGGTTCTCATGCTGCCCGAGAATCCCAGAAACTGATACTAGCCCCGAACGTAGGCATCAGTTCACACTGTGAAGAGCAGGCGGACCTTTTCCCCCAGGGCTGCATTCTGTAATAGGTAACCTTCCGGAGGAGGGGCGTGTCACATGCCAGTGGTGTGCTAGCCAGAGGCAAAAGCAAGCAGAGAAACAAATGAGATTCTCATATTTGTACAATAGGCTACATTCCAGGCATGCAGAAGCCAGAGGTTTCCAACACCACCCTCAGTACTTCTCCATCCTCTAATCAAGCAAGCAAGAGACATCATCACAGTTCAAAGATACATTCTAGCCAGGCTAATGCAACTGAGGAAGATGAGCAAGGAGTAAAGGGGTCCAGTCTGGGGAGCTGGAGTGTGGCCTGAGAGAGTCCCGCGGGCAGGACAGAGGCTTGGAGGGTCCCTGAAGTTCCCCACCCCTAGTGCAAAGTATGTATGAACTAGGGATGGGGAGAAACACAGCAGCAGACCCCACTCCCAACCTATGTGCATTTAACTTAACGCCTGCATAGAGTCGATACGTATCTGCCAAGACTTTTCACAGTTGTTCGGTTAAGCTGTTCAGGCTCCCCACTACACCCCACCAACTGCACACAGTTCGCATGTCTTCACATAGTAATCTGTCACTTCCTATTCTGTGTGCGCCAAAGGGCTTTCAAAGATCAAGCACCACGGACAGAGCTCAGTTATCATACGATGCAGTATCTGCCAAAGAAAACCAGCTCAGAAACTGAGAATATTAACACTTCATAACCACTACCTTGGCTAATCTTACAAACCCGACACATCATCCCTGGTCTGACACCAACATGCACAAAATTAGGCAGACATCAACAGATGTCGTCTGCTCTGGAAATGTCTTAATTGCCAAGTTGATAGTGCTGCCAGCAGGCAGGCAACTCATTCATGAGGATATAGGTGAGCTACTGATAGGCTCTAACATTTAGGAATGACTGCTCTGCTGCAGACAATAACATGTGCAATTTCAAGTGATGAAATGCAGCCAATTGAAAGAGCTATTAGTTTTTATACCCTTTCGGGTATTTGTTTGTTTGTTTTGGAGCTTTTCCTGCAGTAACCTGTAAACCAATTTCAGGTGGAGATCATAAAGAGATCATCCAGAACCTTTAACAAAAGTTTTGATACATGCTTTATAGAGAAACTACACATCACAGCATCCCATGGGGACATCTATTAAGAACTGTGCAGATCATTCACACACATTGTTTCCTTGCCTCTTTCTGGCAACTTTAGTGGCCAGCTGGTGTAATTAAACCAAAATTAATGACTGTTGAATGTGCCAGATTAATGGCACTGCAGAATTAAGACTTCAAATCTATTGCTAGAGAAAGCAGCAGTTGTACAAGCTTTCCCAGTAACAATGGAACTTGAATATGATCTGGTAGCATTCACCAGCAAAGAGAATACGGGGCGGTTTATTAGCTGCTTTAATACCTTGGTATCTCTGAATAGTGCCTGTGAGATCATGGACTAGGTAATGGGTATCATACAAGAACTCCCACAAGGGGCCACAGGAACTCTGCAAACATACATCTTGATTCACAATAGGTGGTTTGTGTACATAATGCATTAAAACTTTTATTGGGGCAGCAGGGAAATCTCATGAAAATCTCAGCTTCTTCTTTCCACATAAAAAACTTAAAGCCTGCTACTCCATGGCCAAACTTGCATTGAATCTAAAGCAAATTAAAGGAAGGATTTCAAGTGTGCTGTGTTGAGTGATCTTGAGTATGGACCGGTCTTGAAAGACCTACATTGGCTCCCAGTACGTTTCCGAGCACAATTCAAAGTGCTGGTGTTGACCTTTAAAGCCCTAAATGGCCTCGGCCCAGTATACCTGAAGGAGCGTCTCCACCCCCATCGTTCTGCCCGGACGCTGAGGTCCAGCGCCGAGGGCCTTCTGGCGGTTCCCTCATTGCGAGAAGCAAAGCTACAGGGAACCAGGCAGAGGGCCTTTTCGGTAGTGGCGCCTGCCCTGTGGAATGCCCTCCCAACAGATGTCAAAACGATAAACAACTACCTGACATTCAGAAGACATCTTAAGGCAGCCCTGTTCAGGGAAGTTTTTAATGTATGATATCACATGTCCCTTGAAACTCTGGATACCAGGAGATATGAAGATTTAACCATGCTGCTCAAGTCTGATGGATATTTACCTTGGATAGTGGCACAGATGACCAGAAACAAATGTCACTACTAGAGCAATTTGCTTGCTTCTGAAGCAACTTAGTCACTATAAGCACTTATCTCTGTTTTTCTAGACTAATGGAGAAAAAGAATCAATATTGTGACATGAAGAAAGCTAAGTAAACAGAAAACAAAAAGATGGACTGCAGCAGCTCAGAGACTAATTAGTGTCATAGAACAATGGTATATTTGCAGCTACAAATTATTTTCAAAAATTACTCCCAAGCGACCCAGAATCTTAGTCATCTACTAAGGCAGAACTCTGAAGTTAACTCTTAGCTTTTACTATAACAGAGTAATGCATTTGGAAAATAGTCAGTGTGCCCACTGCTATTAGGCTGCCAAATTCTGTATGCCCCAAGAAGACCCTTGTGAGATTTCTAGGCTAGGTATTTAAAAAAGCACCCTTGGAATAAGGTGAAAGATTTCAAAAGGAAGAGTACTTCAACAGTCATTTAGGAATCAAATCATGTTGTGCTTTGTTGTATTTTCCAGACAGGACAAGCACCAGGTTTGAAAGGAGCCCCTCTATAAGTATGCCCTGGCAGGGGGCAGTAGTGCCTGGACCATGTTCTGAACATCTTGGGTGGGTGGGTTTAGCTGCCACTTAAATTTTCCACAATGATATATTGCTGCTCTGTGACCTTATGGGAAACAAATATGATGGCTGGGAGCAGCTGCCCAATACAGTCTGGAGCACTGCACTGGGTTTTTGTTTTTTGGGGAGGGTGTCCAGGGCACATGTAAGCAGTGGGCCCTGGTGGGGCACTATGATCCTGGCAAATGCCCCAATATGCCTGGTACTGACACCAGATCTGTCTGCAGAAAAAAATGCAGTCCAAGAGCAATCTCCTATTGTTGTTGTTATTCATTTAAAATTATTCTCTAAAATAACTTAATATAGTTACAAATATACTTTTTATCAACCCAGCATTTCCTGCAAAATATTTACATATTTTTTTCTTTTAGGAAATCAGTTTTAAAAACAAACGCAGAGAAAGCAAATCTCCTAGCAGTGGCTATATTTTAGAACATGTGTTACTGCTGTACTATATCATTTGCAGACTTTCAGACACCATTCTCAGTTACGGTATCTTCAGCCACACTTTACTCTTAAGCATTGGTGGTGGTCTATTCACCTGCAATGCGGATGCAACAGCGGTGATGAAGGGCTGGAAGGGAGGTTGGCCATAGTTCATCATCAGCACTTATATGCTGGCATACGAAGTCTCTTATAGTTGGGATGTAAGCCACAACTTTTAACTAAGGATATTGGGTGGACACTTTGTGACTTCATACTGCAGTCCTTAAGTGGGCAAGATGCCATCTGGGGTGCCAATGTGGGTTTTAAAAGTGCCAGAAATCTAGTTGTTGTGACTATAGGAAAGGGTAATACTTAGCACAAGTCTATGATTCAACACATACTTTAGTAGTTACTCAGGGTTTCGGAAAGTGGTCCCCTCTCAGCCCTATCTGGAGGTGTCAGGGATTGATCCTGGGAGCTTTTTCACGCAATATATGTGCTCCAACAGTGAATACCAGCCCTTCTCTGCCACTTAACAAGCTGATTTAATTCATCCAAACACACCAAAATATTAAAAAATGAAGAACTGGTTTTTAAAAGGTTTTACCGTACAAGATCCAAAGGCTGGTATTTATACCAAGCTCCCCACGAAGCCCAGCACTCATAAAGTAGGTGCCTGTGGTTTTCTGCCCCATGAGTTCTTATGGATTTTTTACTTCTGTAACCACCCTAAAATAAAGGTTGTAAAGGAGAAATTAGTGAAGAAGTATTCCTTAGAATAAACATACTATCCATGTAAGCAAACACACACACACACACACACACACACACACACACACACATTCATTTTGCATTATTTCCCCACAAATAAACAGCATATTGCTATTCTTCAGATTCCAATTCCTAACCTCAGGTCTACAAACTCCCAGAAACTTTTGAAGGAAGATAAGAGCACTCAAAGGAAGCAAACCTAATGTCTGCAGTTTCTTTTCAAATGGAAGTTTTTATTTTTCTGAGCTTCCAGATAATATCTTAGCATTAAGGTTGCATTGTATATTTCTTAGCAAAGGCACACAAAAATTAGCCAAAAAGAACAAACAACTTTGCTGTTAGATATGTTTGTAACCTTTTCTTACACGATTGCGCAAATCCTAAGACATGTACTTACATCTATCAGTTACATAGGATCAGTGATCACAGAACAACTGTTTTATACATGTTAACATTCACATGACCCTAACAACAAAGTATGGCAGGGTTTTGGAAAATACGCAGGTAACCTCACAGATTGATTACTACTGGACCAGCTCTCAAAAACTTTGTAACACTTCAGCTAATACTGGATGCTGTTGTTTACTTTCTTATAGGAACAGACAGGAAGGAGCACATAATAATACCAGCACTCCTAAATTTGAATTGTTATAGTGTCACCCAGGCATGATCACTTTGGGTACTGTTGTCCTGCTGTAGGAGTAAGGATTCCAGAAGTTGGAGTCCACTTTGAGGAAGGTCCAGAGAGCAATGCCAGGTCAAACTCCAAGGTCAAGTTTGGTGAGGGAGGCAGTTAATGAAATAACCATAGTCCAGTCACAGGCCAAGGTCACACACACAGGAAAGTCAGGTTCACAGCAAGACAACACAGCTGACAAGAAGCTGCAGTACAGAAGCTGCTCCAGAAACTTTCCTAAGGAACTGCAGGCATTTATCTACGAGCCTGCTAAGCCCCACTCTAGGCACACCTATCTGAGGAGTTTGATCTGCTAATGAAGAAGCAGCTCCTGATGAGTAGCATGTTACTCTCAAGGAAGTCTTGGCTTTCAGATGAGCACTCCACTGGTCCTGCACTTTGCTGAGTTGGTGTTCTCTTGGGCTTGGACGTGGCTCAGCTTCTAGCTCTGACTTTCTATCAGGTGGGGTGCCATAAGGCCTGGTGGTTCTAATTTGGCCTTGCTGCTGCCTGGCCTAACTTCTTGTTCTCTATGGTCCCCTTCAGGGTGTACCAGGCCCTCCTCTGAGGAGGATTCCTCTAGAAGGAATATGACATCTGTTTTGACCTCTTAAGTCACACATGGCCTCTCCTGAATCTATCAACTTCACAAAATGTGGTGCTCTCCAGATGTGACTGGCCAGTGGTCAGGGTGATGGGAGCTGGAGTCCATCTTGGGAGAACATCGTTGCCTATTCCTGATACAAACTGTTCTCTGAAGTCTTTTAACAAAGCTCTTCTTGGAGATTTGTCAGACTCTGTTGTACAATAGAATGATGGTGTGGAAATATCTTGAGTCTCAAAGGCAAGTATTTCTACAAAATACTTGTACCCAATCCAGCAAAAAACAGGATTAATATTACTGATGATATTAGAGACTATATTGTGTTTGCTAAGAAAAACAATAGGAAATAATACCTCATGAAGAGGAAATGCAGCTTCATAGGAGCCATTAGTAAGCAATCGATTCAGACCTAAAAAACAAAAATATTCAATATATAGCATGCAGGGTTGGAATGACAATAATGCATTAGAAATAATACAATAACAGCTGAATGTTGGAAAAGGAACAGAAAATTCTTTATAACACTTTATAAAGGTGTGGTAACTGTTGCAGAGTGGTACAAGCGCTTTTGAACACCCACATTTCTCAGAGCTCCTTGTGAATTGCTCTTAATTTTGCTGGGATAGTTTTCAGGTATCCTATATGTATCCTATCCTATCCTACCCTATCCTAAAGTGCCTGGAAAGTTCTGGTATCTGTCTAGTAATCTTATCAAAGAATAATATGAGTGCCTGCCATGGCATCTCTTAAGATAAGGGTAGGGAACTGCACGCCCACAGCCTGAACCTGGCCCCTGAAGTCTTTTCAAAATGGCCTGCCAACCACCTCCCACATTCCACAGCAGTATGGGTTACATTGAACAAAACAAACAGCAACTGCCACAGTCTATCTCCAGATAAACTCTGGCATTGTTTAGGATTTTGTGAGTGCTCCAGCATGTTCTCTGCACCACAGCAATAGAATCATAGAATCATAGAGTTGGAAGAGACCACAAGGGCCATCGAGTCCAACCCCCTGCCAAGCAGGAAACACCATCAGAGCACTCCTGACATATGGTTGTCAAGCCTCTGCTTAAAGGTAAAGGTAAAGGTACCCCTGCCCGTACGGGCCAGTCTTGACAGACTCTAGGGTTGTGCGCCCATCTCACTCAAGAGGCCAGGGGCCAGCGCTGTCCGGAGACACTTCCGGGTCACGTGGCCAGCGTGACATCGCTGCTCTGGCGAGCCAGAGCCGCACACGGAAACGCCGTTTACCTTCCCGCTAGAAAGCGGTACCTATTTATCTACTTGCACCCACAGGTGCTTTCGAACTGCTAGGTTGGCAGGCGCTGGGACCGAACAACGGGAGCGCACCCCGCCACGGGGATTCGAACCGCCGACCTTTCGATCAGCAAGCCCTAGGCGCTGAGGCTTTTACCCACAGCGCCACCCGCGTCCCATTCAAGCCTCTGCTTAAAGACCTCCAAAGAAGGAGACTCCACCACACTCCTTGGCAGCAAATTCCACTGTCGAACAGCTCTTACTGTCAGGAAGTTCTTCCTAATGTTTAGGTGGAATCTTCTTTCTTGTAGTTTGGATCCATTGCTCTGTGTCCGCTTCTCTGGAGCAGCAGAAAACAACCTTTCTCTCTCCTCTATGTGACATCCTTTTATATATTTGAACATGGCTATCATATCACCCCTTAACCTCCTCTTCTTCAGGCTAAACATGCCCAGCTCCCTTAGCCGTCACTCATAAGGCATTGTTTCCAGGCCTTTGACCATTTTGGTTGCCCTCCTCTGGACACGTTCCAGTTTGTCAGTGTCCTTCTTGAACTGTGGTGCCCAGAACTGGACACAGTACTCCAGGTGAGGTCTGACCAGAGCAGAAGACAGTGGCACTATTACTTCCCTTGATCTAGATGCTATACTCCTATTGATGCAGCCCAGAATTGCATTGGCTTTTTTAGCTGCCGCGTCACACTGTTGGCTCATGTCAAGTTTGTGGTCAACCAAGACTCCTAGATCCTTTTCACATGTACTGCTCTCAAGCCAGGTGTCCCCCATCTTGTATTTGTGCCTCTCATTTTTTTTGCCCAAGTGCAATACTTTACATTTACTTTACATAGCAGTTAAAACTGCAGTACTAGGATCTTCAGCAGCAATTGCAATCACTTATGCAATAACTGAGTGCTGCATTTTATTTATTTAAAATATTTGTATACTACAATTTCATTTTTTAAAAAACATATATAAATATAAATATATAAAACAATAATTGACTATTATGGAAAATAGTTTAAAAGTCCAGATGACAAAAAGTCCTAGTGCTGTTGTGGTGCCCTGCCTCTTTTCCTCTGAGGAGTGGAGAGGGTGCCATTTACCTCTTCCTTGTGTCATATCCCAGTGCTGCAGTGGGAATTGAATTAGCATTTAGGAGTAGAAAGGTTCTGTGAATTTCATTTCTTTTAGTTTCCAAACTTAAATTCAGTTCACGTTTCTGCAGCAGATTGCGGATTTATTTTATTTTTTAAATCCTCGTGAAAATCTGCATTTTAGTTCAATTTTCTCCTAATAAACACTTTTTTTGTATGACGTTTTGACTAATGTACACATTTTGGTGAGCAATTTCTCCTAAAATAGCATGTTTTTGCTTGTTAGTTTTGTGAATATATTCATACACTTTACCCAATATATGCAATATTGTAAACCCAGTTTGGAAAACTGCATCACAAAATTTGGGTAAGTGCAAATTTCAGAGGATGGCTGTGTTATGGTTCTCATATTGTTTCAGAAATCACAATTTTAATAGATTCATTTGCAAATGCAATTAAATTTCTTCCCCATCCTGAGCACCCTCCTCACTTTTCAGGTTGATTGACCAAAGAGGTGAGGTTGTGATTTCCCTCCCCATTAAAGCATTGGGATGCATATGGATGTTTAAAGTTACCATCCTACTTACTTGGAGAGGCTAATAAGCAGTAAAATCTGTTGCTGACCCACACTTACCAATTTTATTTTTTCCTTCTTCGTATTTCACTCTCTGTAAAATATGATGAACAATTCTACTTCTTGTAGCGTTGTTGAAGAACGTGTCTTTGTTGTGGATGATGAAGCTATTTTTGAAAACAAGCACAAGCAAGATAGTTATTGCTGATGACAATACAAGGAGGTGTCACTGACATATCTGACAAATCATCAGTAGAACGTAAGAAAATAATTAATTGAACCACAATATGAAATTTCTGCTAAGTTGGGTTATTTGAAGGACACTGTATATGAAAGATTTTTTAAAAAAATTAATAACATGAGCTTGTGGTGACAGGGCCAGCCCAAGACATTTTGGCACCTGAGGCAAACCACAAAATGCCACACCAGGGAAAAAGGGGTGAGAGTTAGATTAGGAACAAGGGCTGGGGGATAAATGTATACACAATGTCTGCTGCCACTATAAATCCTGCTGCCTGGGGCAGCTACCTCACGTTGGGCCGGTCCTGTGGAGTTCAATCTCAATAGAAGTAAATAAGCTTCAGTAAAGCAGACTTCACAAGTTGGTAGATGGACCTTTGCTTGTCCAAGGCTGTGGTCAAATGCAACAATTATGGAATTTAATGAGCTGGATTATGCCAGGTCAAGCTACCTTTCCATTTTGCCCAGTATTGCCTACTCGGACTGGCATCAACTCTGACAGAGAGATATGTCCCATCATCTGTTGCTACCTGTGAAGATACTAGGGACAGAACCTGGGACCTTCTGCATACAAACTATGTGATCTGTCACTGAATGATGGTCCCTCCCCTACGTAAGTTTCAGGTACACTTATTTAGGAGTAAACATAATTGAATGCAACAGGATTTTTTTGAGTAAACATGCCTGGAATAGGTCTTCATACTTGTGATCACCGACTCAGACATGACAGTAGCCAACATGAAAATTGTGAATCCTACCAAAAATCTTGGGGTTAGGGTACAACCTCACTTCCTGGGTGCCATGGAGGACTCTCAGATGCCTAATGCAACATAAACAATGTTTATGCAACGGATACAGTGAAACATCCAAAAGTCAGATAATGTCTATTGAATGACAGGGGATTTATTTTAATTGCGCCCGATTTTAAAATTGAAGCAATAACATTGCACCTTTCCTTGTTACTTGCACTTCCTAAGAGATGAGTAAAACTGGAAACTTGGAAATTTAAAAATGTTCTTGCAGTGGCTTAACAAGGCAGAATAAAGGCAATGCACCAAACTGTCATCTAAAGAATAGCCTTGAACTAACAGGACTGCAGCTGAAAGCCAGCCAGCCAATTAATTTCTTTTGATACATTCTCTGTTGGAAACTTTCCAGGTTGCAAACTTTAGCTTGAGGCCAAATGTAATGTTACCCTTTCATAAAAGGCCACACAACAACTCCTTGATTTACAGGAAGGTCTCCAGATGGACAAGAGTAGATTTTGGCCTTTATTGCAAGGTCATTAAGGGTCATGATGACAGGCCATTCACACAACTAACAATTGCATAAGTGGTTTTTAAAAGGTAAATCTGGGGCTCCCCCATTCCCGCAATACAAATAGCAGGCACATGGGGCCCAATCTGGATCAAAGCAAAGGTGCCTGCCCTTTACTTTTAAAAATCACTCACACTGTTGTGTGGGAGGCATTATGTCTTGTTTGGCCTGAAGAGGTGAGCCTTGAGACAAGCAAATTAAAAATACACTGATACCAGTCTCATGCACTCACCACCTATTTGTAAGGAAATCTTGTCCCTTATAATTCCCATCGAAGGATCTAATGTCATATGCAATAAATGTACCAGAAATTCTACTAGGAAACAAAACACACCACCTTCTTTTTCTGTTATTAATTATTAGCATTCTGAAAGTCACATGCACTCCTAAAAGTTCCAGGGATAAAGTAATTCAAAACTCAATCTAGTGTTACAGCTGATTTTTGTTCCTTCATGAATATATATATATATATATATAATCATAGAATTGTAGAGTTGGAAGGGACCCCAAGGGTCATCTACTCCAACTCCTTGGGATGCAGGAATCTCAATTAAATCATACATGATAGGTGGCCATGCAACCTCTGCTTAAAATTCTCCAAGGAAGGAGAGTCCATCACCTCGCAAGGGAGTCCCTTCCACTGTCAAACAGCTCTTGCAGTCAGAAAGTTCTTCCTGATGTTTTCAGCTATATGATGGTGATGATTATTTACATAATATGGAAGGATTTCATATTATTGGGGGAAATTCTCATTCAGATTAAGGAGTGAGATGAGAATTGGGGGGGGGGAGGATCCATGCAGAAAAGCTCAACATCAAGATTTTCAGAAAATTCCATCCACATCAAAAGAATTCCATATAAGCATTATCTGTTCATGTAAACAGACTTTGTGCATATAAAACATGAAGATAGATTGATTTTTAAATGCTGTTTGGGCAATGCTAAGAGTTACATTAAGTTTGTGTCTTAAACAGTTGGTTTAGGGATGCAGTACAAAATACAGATTTTGACTGTGATACAAACCCAGATGGGCAGGGTGTAAATAATAACATTATTCTTATTCTTATTCTTATCCGAACTTTAAAAGCATCCTCAAGTCTGCTGCTGTTTTAATTATTTTATGCCATTTTATTGTTTTTATAAATGAATTGGAATTGTTATGTTTCTACAAAGTTATGAGCACATTTCATGCAGAAAAGCAGGACAAAATGAAATGAATTAAACAAAAATAATGAACTATTTCAAGCTGTGGTGCATTCACGTAACACATCAATACCCCTTTTAATTTGTCAACTAGAAAATGAAGTCTTGAGGAAATGATGAAATGGCTGCAATCGCTGCAATGGCTGCTTACCCCTTTCTAGGGGGCCCAGTGGTTGTGGCCCCTTGTGTTCGGCCATCCTACCTGGCAGCAGAGTGCACATGCAGCCAGCCGTTCAGGAATTCCCACGGCTGGGCCGAGAGGTGAACTGCCCGCCTCAACCCAAGTTCAAATGGGTCCATCAGAGGCCCCTACCACAGGGCTGTGCCTCACCCAATCAGCCAGAGGAAATGATGCAAAGGGCTGCAACTGCAGCACTTGAGCAAAATTTCAAGCAGTTCAGTAGGGGTCCATCCTTACTAATATGCTGCTATCCCCAAAACAAACTGTAGCAGTTCATCTCAAAATTTGTCTTCCTTACAACACTCACTGATGGATCCTTTGCTGACTGAATGGGGCAGTGTAGCAGTCATTCTCCTCCAGGTCTGGCAGCCTTTCCTTGTCCAACCTCATTGGCTTTCTAGGTAACCATCCTCGAAACCTGCTTAATTGTTTCTCGATTCTGTAGCACGTGAAAGGCAAGACAAAAGGAAACATAAAGCTAAATGTTAAAACCGAGGCGGGTACTTTCTTTATACGTACAATCATACTCGTATGGACAACACAGGTTTATGGGGAAGTTACATACAAGGATTTTTCAGAAAGTACTTGTATAAAGTGCTTGTTGCGTTGTGTTTTTTAATTGATCTATATGCTGTTCTGGGAACACTTTTGGTTGAAAAGAAAAGTGAAAATGCTTTAAAGCAGTTTCTAGAACAGAATTGTATAAACTACAGTAGAACCAATTAGTTTTAATTGGGTGTTATCTACAAAATCAGAGTGCTCACTATCAGACTAGCTTAGTCCTGTTTGATTCACTACAGATAGCAAAAGAGGATTTCATGGACCAACCTCTCAAGGCCGTAAAGCATTTATTTGCCTCGCCAAACAGATTGAGAATGGAGGGGAAGGGAATAGGAGGTTCCCTTTGTGTGCTGGATCAAAGGCAGGGACACCTGTGGAATGTCTCTCTCCTTACCACCCTAGAATTTGAATCAGAGGCTCAGGGCTCTGGAGACTGCGGCAAGGAAGTGGTAACTGACTCCTGGGAATTGAAATAGAGAACTTGGACCATGAGAATTGTTTTCTCCAAGGAACACAACTTTCTCAAAAGCCTAAACCTTTATTAGCCCAGGAAGGAGGGTCTGCTTTCACACAAAATACTACTCAGGGGACTTATTATGAACAAGCAAGATGCCAACAGAACAGTATTTCCTGCCGCTCTTGTCTCTAATGTCTTTCCTGACAGAACAGAAGCACTTGCTACAATGCAGCGATTATCAATGAAGGCCAAATAAGCTCTTGCCAATTTCATTTTTAGCTGGTTTAATCTAAATTTACACCTCAATTGCCAAAACTATACTAAGGATGCTTAAGCATGAGGATTTCATAAACCACAGTAGAAAGCTCTGGCAGCAGAACTTTAGAGAAATTAATCGTTTTGCTTCCATTTGCCACCCACTCATGTCTCACAGAGGGTGCTCCTTTAAAAAGCTGCTCTGTCAATTTGTTTCAGCAACACTGTCCTGATACGCTGCAGAATTTATGGACTCTCTGAAGACAAATCATACACCGCAAGAGCTGGAAGCACTGCCGGTTCTTAGATTTAATAATCTCCTTTCCAACAGGTGGAAACAAACAGAAGTCAAAGACTGATGACATAATGGCAATAGAAACAAACAGGCATTGTATCCACATGGAGATTTCTTTAGGGATTCCGAATCTGCCACAAGGCCATCTGTGTCTTCAGCTTGTATTTAAGGCAATATGCAAATAGCGAGTATGCGAATAGTTTACTGATATATCTACTTTAAATGAAAAGCAACCATAGGTGTTTTCTAGTTTGATATTTTGTTTGCATCAAAGTAAAGGCCTTTTACAGGGCAATAGATATGGGACACAGTAAAAACAGGGAGGTAGGTCATGCATCTCCCACCCCAACCACTACAAAACTCCTGAGTAATGTCTAGTTTGGCCAGAACTGAGCCTGCACAAACTCGTTGAGTCATTAAGTCAACATAACCCAGTATGCACTGTTGATATTGGTTCTTTTGTGGGAAACTGTTCCTAGTGTCAATAAGATCTCTACAGGAAATGGTGTTGGTGCCAGGAAGCAAATAGCTGTGATGTAATAGGGCAAAAAGCACCACTGCTTCCATATGATTCATAGAATACCAATTCACTGGTAAGTTCTTTGCTGCATACATCTCCTATTGTTCTGGGAAGAAGATGCTAAAAATACCATCTTAACTTTCTGGTAAAATTGCTCTAATAAGGGCATGGTCTGAAGCCACATGAGGCAACCCCTCTTGTTGAAGGTGAATCTGGTAAGAAACTGAACACATAAGTAAGAAAATGAATTTAAAAAAAATATTCACTGCATGATATGGAGATGTCACTGAAAACAGCATCCTTGTGTAGAATCCCCCTCCCACCCACATCAGTACCTCAGTTCTGCAATGACAGTTCCCTGCTGATGGCACTTTTCATGTAGAGTAGGAGTGGGAAAACATTCAGCTTGGTAATGTCGCACCCTGGGCTGAGAGCTCCTATACCAGGCATAGGCAAACTCAGCCCTCCAGATGTTTTGGGATTACAACTCCCATCACCCCTAGCTAACAGGACCAGTGGTCAGGGATGATGGGAGTTGTAGTCCCAAAACATCTAGAGGACCAAGTTTGCCTATGCCTGTTCTATACCTTATGACAGGCCTAGTCAATGTGGCCTGCAACTTCCATCAACCCCAGCAGACATGGCCAGTGAATAGGGATTGCAGGCGTTGTAGCCTATCATGAAGTGCCAATCAATATTCATGTGCTGAAGAATATTCAGCTAAAACATTCACTGAATAATTTAAGGAGAAGTAGGTACAAAGGGAGAATTGTGCACTCCCACATGTACATACAAACCGATTTGCCTACATGAGCCAAAACCCCTCTGACTCAGATCCTGGGCAGCTAATGCCCATCAGAGTTAGCAGTGCTAGGCAAAGAGTCTGACCTGAGCTTATTATATATTTCATTCAAACACTATAGGTGCCTTCATTTAGCATGGGGCTGGCTGAAGCAAGTTCTGCTGCATGACAAAGATAGCACTATGCATACTACAAAAGACAACTCATGTCAGCAGTGTCGTTTTGGGCAAATTTCCTTAAAAATATATGGCAACCCTACTTTACCTGGAGCAAATAAACAAAATATAATTTTGCTTTATGATATCCATGTAATCAAAGGGTGAATAATGTAGTAGGATGAATAAGGCTCCAAAGAAGCTTCCACATGCCTGATCTAAACTAGGTCAGGGACTAAGATCAAACTGTGAGCCATTTATAGGCTTCAAGTAATGTGGCAACCAAGCCCAACTAGCTATTTCCATTATTAATTGTAAAACAGAAATGCAATGGCTGGGATTCAAAGAACTAGGGGCACCCATAGGTTTTGGCATGCACAGTGGATTTCTTATTTAGTTTGGGTATTGTGTTGTTATATTGTAAGCTAGTCCCTGCATTAGTAACTGTTCAAGCTTTAGTATCTATTACCTTGCCTTGATTGGTTGTTCCTAGGTAGCATATCTAATCCTGCTTAAACTAGTTATCAGAAGTCTGGCCTTGTCACTGCCACTCTGAGTTGCTGCCTTGAAGGCCTGACCACCTATTGCTTTTTCACCTCATCCATAGTCATCTCTTTTTTTCTCAGGCTGTCACTATTTTGGGATGGAATTCAATCACATACTGGCCAATTCAGGTTGCACAGTTGTAGTTGATTTGAAGGTCTTGTGCAAACCTGCTTACTCAAAAGACTGGGTTTTTGCAGTAAGGAAAATCATAGGAAAATGCACTAGGAAATGTGAGATAACACTTGCTTTGAGGCAATGTCATCTAACTTCCCTGAAAACAAATAAAAATGAATACTCATACAGCCAATTTTGCCTAACCTCTCTACAAAGGAAGCAGAATGAATACTAAATAAACAGGTCAAAGCCTTTTATTTTCAGGTTAGAACAGTACATAAGGCAGCCACAGGTTGCAAGGATCTGTGGTTACATGAGAAGTTACATTAGCTAAGCACAAGCTAAAACACTGAACTAAAAAGTAACATGCCCCCTGCACCTTCCTTTTAAAAAATGGGATAGGCACAGCATTTAGCATGGTAGGTGGACAAGCAAATGGGCAGTCCATGTGGGCTAAATAGGTGAGGTTGGAGAAAGAAGTGGGGTGCATGGCTGTCAACTTTTCCATTTTCTTGCGAGGAATCCTATTCGGAATAAGGGAATTTCCCTTAAAAAATGGGAAACATTGACAGCTATGGTGGGGTGAATGCCAGTTCCGATTCAGATTTATTCCCAGCTGTAACGGGGGAAGGCAACTGTGGGGGAAGTGTCTGGAAAAGAGGTAATGGGAGGCACTTCTGAAAGTTTGCCTAAGCCTCTATTGGGGACAGATCTCCATGCCCTAACTTGCTAGGACCCTCCCTGGGAAGAGACATCTCTTGGGGTTTGGAATCTGTTACCCCCCCCCCACTCCACTGGGACACTCCCCAGGGTCCTCCAGGTCTAACTCCCCAAGTTCCTCCCACTCTTTCTCCAGGTCTGAAAACACGTCCCCCCCTTAAAGACACTTCCATGGGAATCATGACACTTTTATTATGTTAAAACATAGTTACTTCACACAACGTTAAAAGCCTTTTGAATTGTTCTCTAAGCTAACTATTTCTCAAACCTCCCCCTGGAATGTTAGTTCGAAATCTGGAACCCAATACATCCAAGATTAATAAATATAAATATAAAATAGTCCCATTAAGGTCAAGCTATGATACATACAAGAAGTTCTGATGATTACTGATTCATTAATATGGAGAACAAAACCATCATTATTTACTTCCCTAATGCATATCACTGTGGAAGATTTGTGTGCTTATGGTTAACAGACTGCTCACGAGGCCTTCATTATGAGCTTTATCTTGCACTTAGTTACATTTTCTATAGTTATTCTGCCTGCTTTTGTTTGGTTTCAAAGATTCATCCTGCTTTTATCTGCTGGTCCTTTCATCCTCTAACTGTGGGGGGAACTGCCAGATGCAAGATCCATTTGCAGAGGTACCAAGGGGATATTTTCTCACAAGGCAAAAAGCTGGGGGCCTCCAACCACATTGGGGTTTAAAGTGCCCTAAACTCCTGAGTTCTGGACTGTCTACACACCATACATTTAAAGCACATTATTTTCCCCAAAGAATCCTGAGAGCTGTAGTTTGTTAAGGGTGCTCAGAATTATAGCTATATGAGAGGTAAACTCTTTTTGGGGTGGGGGTAAATGTGATTTAAATGTATGGTGTGTATGACTGGATTGGATACCCATGCTTTTTACTCTAATCTGTTCAATTCAATTTTCCAATTGCACAAATGGTGTCTTTGGTCCTAAGAGCCTTTCAAGTGGAACATACATGTTAGAACAAACCATGAGATGACAGTAATGCCTTGAAGCCAACAACAATTCAACTATCCACACACAAAAATCATTGTAACTACTGTATTTGCAGAAACAACAGTTGATTATTTCGCTTCGGCTTCTGTGGTCGAACTTTTACATCAACCATGGCCAGCTAGCCTCTTCTGATGAAGGAAAAACATCACTAACCTGTTCAGGAACTTGTACCGGCGATGCAGGTAATAGATTTTTCTCCTGGAAGAACAGCAAAAATGAAGCCAGTCGAGAAGAAAACCCATCGTCAGTTACAGTATGAACTAGCAAGGAAGGAAAGGAGATTGAAGATAGAAGCCTGTAAGAGGTGGAGGAAGAAACTAAAGAGAGAGATTAACAGACAGAACCATCACAGAAACCCACAAAAGTGTCAGGTATGATGGAACTTGAGGAAACACTTTTTTGTTCCCCTTACTCTTCTTTCTTCCGTTTATGTTCATGCATGAAGAGAGGGGCCTTTTTTCTTTCAAAAGGATCCTGGAAACTGATGGCAGCTTTTGGGGAGGCAAATGCAAATATAAATAAATTTAACGCAGTGATTTCAACATCAATAACTGAATGGTTAAAGACAGCATTTGATAAACCGCATGTGCTTCAAACTGGGGAACATACAGCAATTAATACTCAGGCTAGGCAAACCCTGGCACTGGGCAATTGCCATAACTTTACATGCAGCACATCTCTAGGTGGTGCTAGTGTTAGTGACAGTGATGCAGTTCTTCTCTAAGAAGTGGCATGCATGTGGTACAGAAGCATTAGTTAAGTGTTTAGTAAGTGCTTTCCCCTTAGATAAAAGAGTGGGCAGACTTCAGGCTTGTGGGATCTACTTCAATTTTTACCAGAACCTCCAAGATACACCAAGTGGAGCATGGTTTAAAGGGCATATACTTAGATTTGATAAATATGAACCCAGGAATTATTCTTGAGTACCAGAAGTAAACAGAGCTCATGGTCCTTCTACACAAAAATTCCATTCCTGGTTACTCTGAACTATCTTCATTTCAGCAGTTATAATTTAGAGCTAGGAAGGTGGTCATTTTGTTGCTGCTCTTGGGAGTCAGAAATTCTTGCTGATCTATCCTGGCCATACCAATAGATCCAGTTCTACTGTCTGCCCACCCTGGTATTAGTCAAATGAAATATAAGTTAGTTTTTGCATTTGTTTTATCTGTGTGAATGTGAAGCTATATTGGCTAGAATGCACATTTGATTTGAAAATGGCTCTTTCCTGATATCCATCCTGCTTTATTGTACAATATTGTACAAACAGCACACGAGGCAAAGATGTTGGGAGTTGCAATCCAACAACATCTGGGGGGAGCACAGGTTTCCCCTCACTGGTGTAGGGAGTGAAGTGCTTCTGCTTTTTGATAGTTCTGGTCTTTTGTCAATGAAAGGAAGTACTGATTCATAAATTATGTAATTCCCTACCATAATATGTATGGTATCCAAATGCAGAGATAATCAATTCTGAGGGTGAGAGCTGGGATCGTAACCATAGGTCCTGCTGAAACTTCATATGACCACCAGCCCTTCTACATGGAATGTAGTTTCATAGGCTCTATGCAGAAGAGCCTAGCAATGTGCAAAAGCTGGGAGGAAGAACAATGAGAACACTCCCATATATCCATTCCATGCAATGGTTATCTTTGGTCAAATCCAGCAAGGTGATTCTGATTTGCTTAATATGCAATACAGTGGTGCCTCGCAAGACGAAATTAATCCGTTCCGCGAGTCTCTTCGTCTTGCGGTTTTTTCGTCTTGCGAAGCACGGCTATTAGCGGCTTAGCGGCTTTAAGAAAAAGGAAACAAACTCGCAAGAACTCGCAAGACATTTTGTCTTGCAAAGCAAGCCCATAGGGAAATTCGTCTTGCGGAATGACTCAAAAAACGGAAAACCCTTTCGTCTAGCGAGTTTTTCGTCTTGCGAGGCATTCGTCTTGCGGGGCACCACTGTAATGTATTTAATTTACAAAATGCAGCAGCACCAGTAATAAAGAAAATATATTGGCAGAGAAAGTTCATAATGGCTGTTTAAAGAGCCCTGGCTATGGGTGCCATGAGATGTTACCCAAAATTGAGTGCCCACCATGCTTTCAATAATGAAACCTGTGGCCACAGTAAGACACTCAAACCAAACAGAAAGCACCTGGGCGTTTTTGTTTTGGAGAACCCCTTGCAAGAGAAAAGATGCAGTGTGGCAGGACAGAGCTCATGGCCATAACTCATCCATATGAGGAGCCTTTGTGATGTCACAGGAGGGGCTCAAAATTTTCTTTGCCTGGAAAGTTGCAAATTGCACTCACCTGGACAAGCTGCATTGTGTTTATAATCATAGTAAAAGGTAAAGGTACCCCTGCCCGTACAGGCCAGTCTTGCCAGACTTTAGGGTTGTGCGCTCATCTCACTCTATAAGCTGGGAGCCAGCGCTGTCCGGAAACACTTCCGGGTCACGTGGCCAGCGTGACAAGCTGCATCTGGTGAGACAGCGCAGCACACGGAACTCCGTTTACCTTCCCGCTAGTAAGCGGTCCCTATTTATCTACTTGCACCCGAGGGTGCTTTCGAACTGCTAGGTTGGCAGGCGCTGGGACCGAGCAATGGGAGCGCACCCCGCCGCGGGGATTCGAACCGCCAACCTTTCGGTCGGCAAGTCCTAGGCGCTGAGGCTTTAACCCACAGTGCCACCCGCGTCCCTTATAATCATAGTACAGTTTGACAAATTTTAGTTTTCCTTTTGAGATTTAAAATATGGATAAAGACGACTTCGGAAGAGTGTGCCTTATCTTGAAAACTGAATCCACACTGAAATAGCTTTGATCTCTCCAACTTGTTAAGCTCTGGCAAGGGAGTTAATAGCTAAAAGAGCAGACTTTCATAACAGCTCTTGAAGGAGACATCAAGAGTTGCTTAGAATCTGGGAAAGCTGGTCACAGATTGTGATTGCTCAGCAAATTCTGAACTCGTATTTTTCTTTCAGTGTATGCACTCTGCAAATTAAGAACACCAACATTTCATTCTACAGACTTACACTAATGTAAATCTATATAGGTGAAAAAAGAGTTAGGCTGTTTGAATGTTAATTAGTATAAGCCAAACAAACATTATTTTAAGTTTTTTTTCTCTAAGCAATCTAATATAAAGCAGGCGTAAGATTTAAAAATACATTAAAATGCATGTTTATATATATTTAAAGTTCATATATAGCCAAATATACCAAAATTTTCTTAAATGACATTTTGAAGTTAATTTGGCCATTAGTATTATACAATATTTTAGCTCTGTGGTTTTGTTTTTTGTTTTTTTGTAATATACAATATTTTAGCTCTGTGGTTGTTGTTGTTTTTTGTAAAAGTCATGAAATGTATTTATCTTCTTCATTTGAAAACTTTTTCTTTGTAGTAGATGCTTAAGTATTAAGGTGATTTTTCCCCCTCTAGCAAGGCAGCATACATACTGGCAGGCTACAGGTGTTGGATATGCCAGATACGTTCAACAGGCATGCACTTTTCTGTGCTGCCGTACGTACCTGGATCTTCTCGATTTTCCATTGTTTTCAAAGAAATGTCCATTTAAAAAACAGCAGGGCACGAGTATGCAGGGGGCTCCAGCATTGAAGGGGTTAAAGGGCCTAAGGATAGAACACCCCCATGAAAATAGTGGCACTGCTATATACCACCTAAATTTAAAATTGAAACTGAGTCAAAATTGTAGCCCATTAAAAAGAATATAACAATCATTTGCATTTCACTTTCATGGTTTACATTAGCTTTAAAAAACAGAATGGCAAGCCCAAAGATATAACTAGACCTACCTGAAAGGCATTCTTACATTCATAAGTTCTGCATATTTTCCTAGTACTTCCCAAGGGGCATGCAGCTTCACAAAGATGATATCGCTGTTTGATAACGATGACTGCAACAGAAAATGGGTTAAATGAAGACTTGGTCACAGAAATAATAAAGAATACGCACGCACAGGCATGCACGCACGCACACACACACACACACACACACACACACTACTTAGAGTGTTCCTAAATTAAAATACATTCAGGTAGAGATAAGGACATAGGCTGCAATCAGAACCTCACTTACCTGATCATAAGCCCCACAAAATTCAAGAGGACTTACTGCTGATTAGACATGACAGGAATGTGTGATGTTATTCATACAAGAATGTACACCACACGATATTTCAGGACATCACACACAATAAGGCCAACAAATGAGGACTGCTTGACATGAACTGGGAGTATGGAAAAAGCCTTTGTTGGCACCACTGATAAAAGAGTAAAATAAAAATGTCATGAAAAAGAAGTGGAAAAACTGCATTTCTTGCAATTACTGTGCATAATACTTAAAAGTAGCACAGTGGCAGTATGTGTTCATATGAGGGCTGCAATAAAATGGCTGGGGCAGGGAAGCATTGCTCAATGAAATGTTCTCATGATTCTTAGCCATGCTATTTGCTATTGTCGAGAGAATACTGGATCTGCAAGAAATTGGTAGTGGCCGCTGTGCACTGGAAGAGCACACAAAATCTGTGCGTAAGACCCGAGGTTCAGTTCCTGGCAAGGATCTCAGATGCTGCCACCAGTCAGAGAAAATACCACAGATTCATGTGTTCTGCAGTCTCATATATTCAGTTACTGTTGAAGTTGTTTGAATATTTATAATGACAGGTACCTTGAAAATGGGGGAGGGGCTATTGCTCCCTTTGCTAATAGGGAAATCAACTTTTTCCTTTCCTGTGCAGCTAAATTGAAGCCTTTCTTAATGTGAGAATTTCTATGTCTGCATGACACTGAATGAGTTATAACAGTGACCGTATCACAGAAGACAATAAACAATAAGAGCTGCTCAATCTTCTGTTACCTATGCTTTGGTAAAATCTAGGTTAAAGGTAAATGAAATATACTCAGAGTCGCAAAGTGATTTCATGCTCTTTATTCAGCTCATAGTGGTGAGGAGGAATGAATGAAAGTCCCCTCAAAGTATCTGCTTTATATACATTATTTACACAATGGGCTGCACATGATTGGCTAATTCCGGAATTCTACTGTAAGCCAATCAGGTTGTGGATTCACTTCTATCTGGAGCATGATTGGGTAGTTCCTGCCAACCAATCATACTGCTGCATTGTTCTAGGACCAATCAGACTGCTGCATTCTGAATCCTATTGTTCTAGGACCAATCAGACTGCTGCCTTTTGGATCCTATTGTTCTAGGACCAATCAGACTGCTGCAGTTTGGATCCTATTTAACTCAGTACATAACACCCCTCCCCTCTAAGTTCCAGTCCTGCCCGGGAGGTCGCATTCATAGTCCTTGAGGTACGCCGGTGGCCTACGTGTGCGTTGCGGCCTGGGGTGTTCCCTGGTCCGAGGTTCAAGGTTCTGGCTCGTGTTCCAAGGATGCTGGCTGTGATGGGGCTGTCTGGTCTGGCGCAACCGGCTCGCTCAGTCGTGGTTCTGGTTCCGGTGTCCTTTCGGCCTCGCAGGTCCTCTCTGTATTGACTGATTCTGCCTCTCCTGCTGGCCCCTCGTGCTCTATGGGCCTCACTGCCCCTCTGTTCCCTTGGGACTCCTCTGCCCTTTCCTCCTCCTGGTTTTCTCCCGGGAATCGTCGCCGTATCTGGTCGCAGTGGCGGCGCCAGCATTGCCCCCCATCTGTTAGCACCTCGTACGACACGGGGCCAGTGACCCTGGTGACTGTGGCAGGTACCCATGCTGGGCCTGCCCCAAAATTCTTTGCATACACTGGGTCCTGGGCCTCGAAGGTCCGGGGGTTCCTGCCTTCCCCCACCACTACCTCATCCTGAGCTCTATCGGGGTGAAGGCGGTCCAATCTGATTGCAAGGCGCTGACCCATTAGTAGTTCAGCGGGGCTCCGGCCAGTCGTTGAGCTGGGGGTGCTGTGCTAGAAGGAATGTGGCAAGGCGGTACTCCCAATCCCCTTGCGTCATGCGGCGAAGGGTGTCCTTGGTGGTCCGCACCATGCGTTCTGCTTGGCCATTGGTGGCAGGGTGGAATGGCGCCGAACGGATGTGGCGGATGGCGTTCTGTGCTGTGAAGGTTTGGAATTCTCCTGACGTAAATGCAGTCCCGTTGTCTGAGACGAGAGTGTCAGGGAGCCCGTGGGTTGCAAACAGCCTGCGTAGTACCCGGATGGCTGCGGACGTAGAAGTGGACGGTACCAGTGCGACTTCCAGCCATTTGGTGTAGGAGTCCACCACTATGAAGAATGTTTTCCCCTGAAAGGGGCCCGCAAAATCCACATGCAGGCGTGACCATGGTGCTCGGGCGGACTCCCAGGACTGGACTGGGGCCCTTGGGGGATCTGGGCGGGATTCTTGGCAGGCCTGGCAGTGTTTGACCCAGGCCTCTATCTCTCCGTCGATCCCCGGCCACCACACATAACTCCTGGCAAGGGCCTTCATTCTTACTACCCCTGGGTGTGTTTCGTGTAGGGCTGTGAGGACCCTTTTGCGGAGGGGCTGGGGAACGACGACCCTGCTTCCCCATAACAGGCACCCCTTGTGGGCCGACAGTTCATGCTTGCGGGTTGTGTAGCCGGCGAATTCTGGCCCGGGGCTGCTGCTGGGCCATCCCCTCCACACCCAGTCCAGGACCCGGGAGATGACCCTATCTTTCTTGGAATGGTGTGCAACTTCTTGTGCCTGAATGGGGCGGTCGGGAAGCAGCTCCAGGCTCATAACCTCTTGTGCAGGTGCTGGGTCGGGGCCTGTTTCTGGTAGTGGTAGCCTGCTGAGGGCATCCGCATGGCCCATCGCCTTCCCAGGACGGTAAATCAGTGCATACTGGTAGCTGGCAAGGAAAATTGACCACCTGAGGACGCGAGGAGACAGCACTTGGGGGGTCTGCTTTTCAGGGGCAAACAAGCCAAGCAACGGCTTGTGGTCCGTCACCACGGTGAAGGGCCGCCCGTACAAGAAATCATGGAATTTTTTTACTCCCTTCACGATTGCCAGACCCTCCTTGTCGATTTGCGAGTAGTTCCGCTCGGTTGCATTGAGTGTCTGGGAAAAGTATGCCACTGGTACCTCTCTTCCATCCGGGAGTTGGTGTCCCAGGACAGCGCCGATTCCATAGGGCGAGGCGTCGCATGCTAGCACCACCGGCAGCCTCTCGTCGAAGTGTGCCAAGACCGAGTTTGAGACAAGCAAGTCCTTGACTGCCTGGAATGCGGCCTCCTGGGGCTGGCCCCACACCCAAGGGGCCCGCTTGTCCAGGAGTCTGTGTAGGGGCTCCGCTACCGCCGCCTTGTGGGGAAGGAAGGAATGGTAAAAGTTCAATAGTCCCAAGAAGGCCTGAAGTTCAGTCTTGTTCTTGGGCGCTGGGGCATCACAAATGGCCCGTACCTTGTCCCCAGTTGGGTGGACCCCTTCTGCGTCCACCATAAATCCCAGAAAGTCCACCTGAGGCACTCCTAGTAGACATTTTTCCCGCTTCACCTTGATACCCGCCGTCTGGAAACGGTGCAGAACGGTGCGGAGGCGGTCCTCAAACTCCTCTGGTGTGGGCCCGGCAATCAACACATCATCGAAGAAGGGGGTGACGCCAGGAATCCCTTTAAGGAGAGAGTCCATTAGATTCTGGAATATGCCTGGTGCCACGCTGACACCGAATTGCAGCCGCTTTACCCTGAATGCTCCTCTGTGCGTCACAATCGTCTGTGCCTCTGCTGTAGCCTCATCTACTGGCAGCTGTTGATATGCTTGGGCCAAGTCCAGCTTGCCAAAAATTTTCGACCCAGCCAGGGTGGCAAGAACATGGCTGACCACTGGCACTGGGTATGCATGGGCCGTGAGGGCCTTGTTTATGGTACATTTGTAGTCTGCGCAGATACGGACCGAACCATTAGGCTTGACGGGTGTGACAATTGGGGTTTCCCAGGGGGCATTAGGCACTGGCTCCAGCACCCCTTGCTCCACAAGCCGGTCCAATTCCTCGTCTATACGGGGTTTCAGGGCGAACGGGACCCGGCGGGCCTTGAGCCTGACCGGTCGTACTGCGGGGTCAAGCTGTAGAGCAATGGGGGGGCCCGTATACTGTCCCAATTTCCCATCGAAAACCCCCGGAAATTCCTTGCATATGGCGTCCACGTCTACTTGTAAGCTAGTGTGGTTCACCCTGGTGACGGCTAGCCCCAGTGGTCCAAACCATGCCAATCCCAGTAAGCTAATGTAGGGGCCCTTGACCACAAGCAAGTCCAGTTGCCGCGTCCGCCCTCGGTATTGCACCCTGAAGGTCCCCAGCCCCATTGTGGGGACCTTACGTTTCTGGAAGTCCCGGAGGGTGAATGGGGCTGGCCTGAGTTTGGGACCCCCCGTAGGACACAGTTTTCTTAAGGTCTTTGCCGAGATTATGGATAGAGTTGAACCCGTGTCAAGCTCCATGTGGCATGGGGCCCCCTCTATCTGTACCTCGACATAAATTTTCTCTACGTTGGGGTGGGGCAACTGGTATACCTGGAAGTCCGTGAGCTCCGTCGAGTTGCCTTGGTGTGTTGGGCCCCGGGACCTGGGGCTCTTGGATTGGTCATCTGATGCCTGGCGTCGGGTGGGCCGAGCCCGACACACCCGGGCGATGTGTCCCAATTTTCTGCACTGTCTGCACTCTGCGTTGCGGAAACGGCAGGTCCTCCTCTCGTGACTTTCTCCACAGCTTGCGCAGTTCCCTCCTTCTCGTCGAGGCAGCTGTGGTATGTGGGCTGCTTGAGTGCGCTGCTGTACTCGGTGCACCTCCTCCCTGTCGGATCCTGAGTCGTCGGTGAGGTCTTCATGGTGGACCCTCGGTTGGGATGACAGGCTCGGCCGTGCCTCTTGCGTCGACCTCTCGGCAGCTTCCGTTGCCAGGGCCTCCTCCAGAGCGACCTGGAACGTTAGGTCCT